ATTCTAAAGACTGTTCAGGATTGAAAGTTGAATTTTTGGTTATCTTTATGAGAACAACATTTTTTTTTAAGTAATCCCTTTCTTACATTCTGAACATCTTTGTGTGTGTGTGTGTGTGTGTGTGTGTGTGTGTGTGTGTGTGTGTGGTTGTCTGTGGTTTTGGGGAATCAAAGCCAGGACTTTGACATGCTAGGCAAGCACTCTATCACTGAAGTATAGACAGTCCCAGCCCTGAGTCTCCTATTTCTTACATAGCAAACTTAAATTCATAGAAATTAAACAAAATAATTTCACCTTTCTCCTTTGCAAACCTAAGCATCTTTGGAAATGGCCTTGGTTTACACCTTGGTAGGTTTCTTTGGCTGGGGAAGAGTAAAAAGGAAATGGTAGGAGACACTTACGGTCTTCTCCAGAATGTCCCATGACTACAGCTGGCTCTGGAGCAAAGCCCACGTCATTCAGGGCCTGAACTTTTATCAGGTATGGGACAAAGGTTGGTGTGCCGGAGACAATATATTTGGATACATTTGCCACCACCACAGATGTCCATTCATCATCACCATCTTTCTGCCGCCAGCTCACTTTGTACTGAAGGCCTGGCCCATTAGATTCAAAACCATTCAGGGGCTATGGGAAAAGCCAAAGAACCTCAGCTTACAAAACAGATTGACTGCATAACCTTTTATGGGAACAACAAATCCAATTCCCAGACTTAAAGCGAGCATTGAGACACTGAAATACAAGCTATTCACCATTTTCTCCAAGGACCTCTTATCTTTTTTTTTTTTTTCATTTGTGATGAGATTTAAGACTTGTTTGGGATCAACATTTCAAAGATTGCAAATTACTATCTTAAAGCAGTAAATACCACAAAAATCTTTCAAAGCCTGGCTGCATAACCAAGGATGGGTAAGTCTTAAAACATTTCAGTTTATAGATTCCTTTATACATTTCTGTTTGTGTGATAGTATATCATTACCTGTTTTATTTGAAGACTGAAACTTATGAACTATTGCCCTGTTTATTAAATAAAGTTAACCTGTCATACTATCCTAAAATAATATATATTTGTGTGTGTATATATATATATATATACATAAGTATGTACACATTTGTATACATATAAGTATATGTAAGTATCTAAGGTTTAAGTACTATACAAGTTAATATGTTATTTTTCAAATCCAAAAAAATACATAATTACTATTACTACTAATAAATCAACTACTGGGAATAGCTTGATGCATGTGCTCCAGGTAGTTATCTTATAATAATGACAATAGTAGCTACTATTTTTGAATACATATATGTGCTAGGCATTATACATGTTCTACATGTATTATTCCTTTAATCTTATGCAGTTGCTTCTACTGTTATTCTCATTATACAGATGCCTAACAGATGTTCAACAACTGGCTTAAGATCACACTATAAGTAGCAGATCTGGGGTTTGCACTCATTTGTTTTGGCTTCAGGGATCAACCTTTTTAACTACTACACAATAATGTCTCTTAAATAAAGATGAATGTGTGAAATTGGATTTTAATGAAGAAGACAGTATTTTAAAACAACTTTTTCTTTTCACTCTAAAAAGATTGAGGAAAGTTGAAAGCTTCATAGCTCACCTTCCATGTAATCACCAAATTATCAGGCTCTGAACCCAGTCCTTCCACAGCCGTGGGATTTTTATCTGGTTCTAGAAGTTAAGCAGCCACATACGTGTAAGCTTTGGTCATTTGCAAAGAGTGGGAAACTTCTGTATTCTATTTCATATCCCTGAAGTCCACCCTACCTGTGGCTTTTGTCAGATACTGTTCAGACGCCTCACTGGGCAGGCTCCTCCCGATGCTGTTCACCGCCATCACTCGGAAGGAGTAGTTCACATAAGGAGACAGCTTCAGCTGGGCTGTGGTCTGTGTTCCAGAAACTTCAGTTTGGTGGTGCCACAGCCCTGCCTCATGCATTGCATCTTCATATTCAATGATGAATTCTGGGCATAACACATACACACACACACCACAAACCCAAGACAGTGAGTTCAGTCAACCTAGGGGTAAGTTGTAGCCATAAGTAATAGGGCAATCAAGAATAGTCAAGCCAAGTGCAGTGGTGCACGCCTGTAATCCCAGCAGCTAGAGAGGTCGAGGCAGGAGGGTTGTGAGTTCAAAGCCAACCTCAGCAAAAGCAAGGCATTAAGCAACTCAGTGAGACCCTGTCTCTAAATAAAATACAAAAAAGACCTGGGGATGTGGTTCAGTGGCCTAGTACCCCTGAGTTCAATCCCCGGTACTCCCCTACCAAAAAAAAGAGTAGCCAAACATGAATTAGTTTGCTTTGAAAAAAAATTCACTAGAATATTTTTATTTTAGGGTTTCTTTCATTACCCTCAATACCAAAGTGCACTCAATAGTACCTAGTATTCTTTCTCTAGCATGCTGAGTTTAGTTTAGTTAAAACTATTTAGAATTGATCCATATACTCCAAGGAAAAGTTTAAATATATGAAAAGATGATCAATTTTTCATAATAGAAGGAATTAAAATAAATACAATAAGGTGCCACTTTTTACTAAACATATTGACAATAATCAAAGGCTTAACACATCTTGTTGACTGCCACAGAGAGAAAGAACCATTCTCAGACTTCACAGGAAGTGTAAATTGGTACAACTTCTATACAGGACAATTTAGAAAATCTCAACAATATTTAACATATATACTCTTAGAGAAATTGCACTTCTATCAATTTATTTTGAATAAATGTATTCATGCATATTGTTCAAAGATGCATGAAAAATAATTCACATTGCAACATTGTTTGCAATTGAAACTATCTGTTTGCAAACAAGCTAAATATCCACCAGTAGGCCATTGATTAAATCAAGTAGGTCTATCCATGCAGTGGAATATTCTTCATGTTATAAATGAGTGTGGTTGCTTCATATGTACTAAAACAATGACTTCCAAACATAGTCTTAAGTGAAACCAAGTGTGGTATAAAAGAGTGTGTGCTGAATACAACCATTTGTATAAAAGAACATTTCACAAAGCCATGTTCACTTGGATATACATGTACCACCTCTCAGAGGGAAAGAAGCATTCTCAGACTTCAGGGGAAGTGTAAATTGGTACAACTTCTATACAGGACAACTTGGAAAATCTAAAAATATTTAACACATTTACACTTACAGAAATTGCTCTTTTATCAATTTATTTTGAATAAATGTGTTCACATTTCCACAGAAAATGCTTTCAAGAGATGTGACATTATCACAATATGACATAGAAACATAATGTTGACAATGTAAACCACCTCAAGCTAATTTCACAGAGGATAGACACTGATAATATTAGTACTGTCAGAAGGCTGGCATCCAGGAGCAGAAGGAAGACGCACTTTTTCAGTTCAAACCCTCTATAGCTACTAAAAATTTGTAGTATGTTTCTGTTAACTTTTGTAAAAATGTTTATTTAGGCATTCATTGATTGCCTACTATATGCCAGGTATCATGATGTGAACTGAAAATACAAAAGTGAAATACTATACATGTTACAGTGGTCTAAAGCTAAGGCCCTGGAGTGCTTTCAGTCTACGTTCCTTTGCCGGTGATCTCTAGTCTCATCAATGGATGACTTCTTCATTAATATCTGCAGCCCAGATCTCTCCCCTGAACCACAGAATTGAATATCCAATCTCCTACTCAACAACTGTACCTGAGTGTCTACTATTACTATAGCATCAAACTGGATATGAACAAAACAGTTCAATCTTCTTCCCCAACTGGTAGTGACAACTCAAGTCAAAACCTTAGAGTGTTTGTTGGCATCTCTCTTTCTTTTGCACTTTCAAGAGTACTGTTAGGCTTTACCATTAAAGTATATCCAAAATCTGACCATTTCTCCACCTCCATCCCTCTCACTATCATTTCAAACCACTATCATTTCTCCTATGTGAATTATTACATAACCTTCTAATTCAGTAATTCTCAAAACTTCTTCTGCTTATGATATACTTGGTGTTTCAAGAATTTTTTTCCCACAGGTTTCTTAGATCAAAAGAAATATTTGATGTTTTCATGTATTAACTAATTAGGTCCATGCAATTTAATATGTATTTATGTCTTAAAAATTTAAACACAACTTCCCAAATCTAATAAACAAATTGGACACCACCACCTTCATTTCCTACTCCATACTGATTTTTCACATGGCACTTGCTTTTTTACTACAGAAAAATGCTTTCCAGAGATGTGACATCATCACAATATGACATAGCAACACAATGCTGAAAATGTAAACCACCTCAAGCTAATTTCACATGGTGCCTGACAGATATCACTATACTTTTTATTTTTAATTTTTGGTATTGCAGATTGAACCAGAGGTGCTTTACTACTGAGCCCCTTTTATTGTTTCATTTGAAGACAGGTCTTGCTAAGCTGTTTAGGGCCTCAATAAGTTGATGAGGCTGGCCTTGAACTTGTGAGACCTCAGTCGACCAAGCTGTTGTGATTACAGGCATGTACCACAGTACCTGGCTTTTCACCATTTTTTAAATATCAAATTTTTGAAATTAGTTTAATACATCCCTGTGAATTTGCTGAGATATCAGTTCACAGCAGTTCACTGCAGTTCACAGTGAAACCACAGTCTACGTGATCTCAGTGTTCCCCCTCTTATTCTTTTATAGACTATTTTCAATGAAATAGAGTTATTTATAATGATGAGGGCTTCCCAACCTTACAATGGCTTGCCAGGCCCTGCACAATTCACACTCCTGCTCACTGCCCAACTCTTCAACTCTGTGACCTTCTCTCCTATTTCGCTTCCTCTGGCTCATTCACTGCAGCCACACTGGCTTTCCAATAGACATGTCCCTGTCTCAGGGCTTTTGTTTTTTCCCTTTGCTTTCCTTGGAAAGTTCTTTCCCCAGATAATTTCAGAGTGTGCTCACTGACTTCCTCCTCCTGTCCCGATTGACATACTTAAGTGTTAGCTTCTTTGTGTGGCCTTTCCTGACCTCCCTATTCCTAATTATACCACTGACACCCCCATCTCTTTCTCCTGATTGTTTTTTGATTGTCTAAACACACACATGCACACACATGTACACACACACATATGTTTATAGATAGATATCTATGTGTTTGAGTTCTTTAGAAAGAAGATGTTAAGACAAAAGTGAAAGAAATGTGTTTAGGGAAATGTCCATGGAAGATGAAAGGGAGAGGAGACAGAAGTTGGCAGGAAAGACCTTCAGACCAATGCAGGTCTGATGACTAATGGGAGAGAGGAAGGAGAGAAGAGTGAGTGGGAAGAGTGCCCAAATGCACTATAACTCTGTGACAATCTCAGCCATGTCAACAAGGAGCCCCATAATAAAGCTTACCCATTGGAGGGGTTATCCATTAGGTATGGCTGAGCTCTAGAATCCTTGCTATGCTTGTTCCTGGAGCACCCCTGGGAGCGTGTGGCTCCTGTGAACATTACTTATCCTTGAGAAAGGTGCAGCTTATGGAGGCTGTCAGCAAGTATCCCCTGCAATGGGTTCTCTCTTGAAGGTAAACTGAGCAGTGACTTTGTCCTTGTGTGTGTGCATATGTGTACATACACATATATGCATGTATTTGTAACATTATGCAAAATGATGTAATATTTTTATCATATGTGTGTCCTCATCAAAAATGTGCACTCCTTAAGGGCAGAGATTTTTGACTATTTTGGTTTAGGACAATGTCTGGCACGTAATTAGCAATCAATTTGCATCCGTTGAATGAATGAGTGAATGAAGGAAAGAGCAGAAATGCCTTGAAACCTAACAGTATTGTTTATCATAGGCAAAATCAGTTTCCAAAAAAATCCTAACCTGCTAATTCAGAGTCATGTGTTGTATTAGCTGGAGACTCAGCCTGTTCTGATCTAAGACACTGAAAACTCAGATGAGAAAAAGGGCACCACTAAATACAAGAGAGAAAAGAAGCATTTGGTTGATTTTATTGGGAATATTCTTCTTTGCCTGGAGGTGCAATAAATCAACACACTTATTATTTCAGAATAATTTTATATCATCATCAGAAAAGTATTAGAACTTCCTGCAGTCTCTACCTGAAGGCAATCACATATCTCAGGCCCATGACTGTGTCTGCTCTCTGTAGTATTTCTTCAGTTTTACAATTAAACCTCGATTACTTCTACTCTAACTTATTAAGTTCCTCCCGCATCCTTACGGTCTGGTCCCTCTTTTGACTTTTTTCACAGGGATTAAGACATCAACGTGAGGAGCTGACATTGTTGAATCTGCCACTTTGTAGCAGGGAGCCATAGAAAGAAAGGGACCTATATGGAAGTTAATGGACCTGATGTCTATACCCAGTTCTGGTACGAACTGTGGATTTGAAGGGACTTTACTCAATGAGTCTCATTTTCCTAACATTTGGAGGGGGCCTTTTGGCACTTGCTCCTCCTATCTTTTTCTCCCAGAAGTAATGGGCAAATTGAATAATGGACTTAAGATGCATCTTCCTACTGCAGTAGAAATTTTCAGGACTAGTGACACACACCTGTAATCCCAGTGACTTGGGGAGCTGAGGCAGGAGGATCACAAATTCAAAGTTAAGCATGCTGAGAATTAAGCCAATCCCCCCAAACCAAAAGATGAACATTTTCTCTGATATGTGGAAGCTAGCCCACCATAAGCAGGGGAGGGGAATAATAGAATTTCAGAGGATTAGACAAAAAAAGGACTGAAGGGAAGGAAGGTGAGATGGAAATAGGAAAGATAGTGAAATGAATCTGATATAATTTTTCTATCATGAACGGTTGCATGTGGGTGACTGCACATGGGAGTCTAGTGGATAGAAACATCTGGTGTCTGGGAATGACCAGTGGACATTTTCTCTGGTCAATTGCTCAGGGGCAGTGTGAATTTCTATCCTGCTCTGCTGAAGCCCACATAGCACCTGAGATGGGTGTGATCTGCCAATATGTCAATCAACCTGCTGACCGCAAGACATCATGAAGCAAGACTCTGCGCTTGAAACCTTATCCCTCCCTTTGATGTATCCCTTTAAATAAACCACCAGAGCATCTTTTCTTTGTCTAGTTTCAGCACCCATGTGGACTAGATTTATCAAGGGCTTTGCTTTTATAAATATATTTCTGGCCATTTGTGTTTTGTTATTCACTAATTATTTGAGACTTTAAGTTTTAGGGTGGCTTACATCCTCCTAGGAAGGAAAAAGAACACCCCAGTGAGATGCTGGCCGACGTCCCCATTACTTTTCTATGTACATATATGAAGATACCATACTGAATCCCACCATCATGTATATCCACAAGACTAGAGCCCTAATTAGAATAAGATATATTCCATGCATGTATAATTTTATTAAAATGGACTCTACTGTCATGTATAACTAAAAAGAACCAATGAAAAAAGATAAGTTCAAAGTCAGCTTCAACAACTTAGTGAGGCCTAAGGAACTTTGCAAGACCCTGTCTCAAAACAAAACAAAACAAAAATAGAAAGTGCTGGCTCAGTGGTAAAATGCCCCTGGGTTTGATGCCTGGTACCTAAATAAATAAATAAATAAATAAATAAAAATTTAAAAAGGTGATTCTTACAGATCTTAATAATGACAGTGTATTTGCTTCATTGATATATTCAGAAATTAGTGTCCTGTACTAGAAGCTGTAACCAGGAATCACACCACCTCTGAAGAGAAACATACATAAATCTTTTAGTTCTATTGGTAATAAAGCAGAGAATGCCTGTAAGTACCGTCATGAGGAACTGCAGTTGCATAATAGAAAGTGATTCCAAAACAGCCACTAAACTTATCAGCGATAGAGCAAATGACACCACATACTTGTAATGGGGCTGTTGTTGTCATCGCCTGGGGTCCAGGACAGCTGAACACTTTTGTCGAGTTGATTAGTCAATTCTAAATCAAAGGGAGGATTTGGCACATCTGTAGACCAAACACACACATCATGGTTAGCTATCTGTTTTTAAGAGGTTCTTCTTTATTCATGACACTAGCTATTCAGAGGGGACATCTTAAGGACAAAGCATACATGATGGTCAATGAGCATGCAAATGAAGTGAGATGGAAACAACTGAGGGTGCTGGGAACACCAGGGCCCAGCCAAGACAACCCATGAGGAGCTCTGCTGCTTGCTTTTCAAATGGAATGAAGTAATTTGTAACCAAAGCCAGGGAAGCAAACGGCTCAGGTTCATCAGCACTCTCAGTGTGCATCTTCAAATAAACACGAAAAGCACAAACATAAAGAGTAATGTGAAAGCTTAATTTTTAAGACACGGGGAACAGAATAGCAAATGCTGGAAAGCACATTCAGGCAAACAGATGTACTGTTAAAAGGAGATTCAAATGTTCTTTCTGAAACATGCTGAATGACAGACTTGAGGAGGGTCCTGAAGAATATTTATACTCTTAAGAATAGTAGTCCTCAGCATGCATAGTGTGTTTACTCTCAGACACTGGACACCGGTTGAACAAAGGTAACCCAGAAGCAGGGCTGCCTTATTGAATGGTGCCTCTGGGATCCAGAGTTAACACTCTGCCATGGGCCTTTTTTGAACCTTGCTTCTAGAAGTATTTCTGGTTCTTGGGGAACTCGAGGCCATATAAATATACGGGTTATTCTTTCTCATAAGTAGTAAAGCAGTAAACGTCTACCAAGGACACATTTTATATATAAAATAGCAATATATGTAAAATCTAGTCAATTTATGATTATGCCACAAAAATGAATTTTTGTATTTATGTGTTGAATAAAGATAAGGATTTCCTTTAAAAAAATTCTGGAAATGATTTCTATTTTCCAGAGTCAGAAAAGTTTTACATGACATTAATGTGCCCTCTTTCTGGGTTTCTAATGACTTATCTGTTGTGAATGAATAGTGGGTCAGCTTTCTCTGACATAAAAGTAAAAAATGTTCTAAATATCCATTTCTTCCCTGTTTAAATTTCTTGAAAATGGATCCCCAAAGCAACATTTATTTTCCAAAGCAAATTTTAATAGACTGAAATAAAATCTAACTTGTGGAACAATATAAGAATTTTTTTTCATTCTTTAAAATATGGATGACAGGTTTTGATAAAGCCCTGTGCCACTTGCTTATTTTACAAGGAAACTGTATCAAAGAGGAACTTTTGTCAAATGGAATGATATTTGTAATAGCACCTGCAATATTTAGAAACAACTGGCAATAAACTCAGTAAAAGTTCTAAGGTCATGATGAAGAAATGATTTATTACAGTAAATGAAGGACACAACAATTGACAAACCCCTATTCCTTAAAGAAACATGATGATGTGATAAAGAAAAAAACAAATTCTTTTTTCTGCAAATGTGAAACTGACAGAAAATAGAGAAAGAAGACTCATTAGTTTACCGTAAATGGGAGCTGGAGTTGGAGTAGGAGCTAGAAAGGACATTAATATAAAGGATTTTAATCAAAATTAGTAATGGAAAGATACAAGATAGCACAAGAAGACAAAGACTGCACGTGACTAAGTTAATAAAATTAAGCCCTATGCTTGGCTGTGAGATATGGCATTGATATACATGCAATAACAATTTAGGCATACAAACCCTTAACTTTTAAATAAAAGTAGATTATTCCCCCCAATTTTCTTATAAAAATGCCTCCAATATCCACCATTTTATCTCAGTCTGCTACAGAGCTTATCCTGAAATGATCACCTTGAAGGCATCTTTCAAAAAAGAAAAAAAAACTATGGTTTTAAAACTATAATGAGCAAACATTTCATATTTACAATTTTCCTTTTTCTTTTCAATCGAAGACGTGGAAGTGGGCTGTGTTGTATTTGTTCTAGTTCTTACCGACAACGCTGAGCACAGCACTTGCAGAAACATTGTCCAGAGTTGTGTTGGCCACACAAGTGTAGGTCCCACCGTCATTGTCATTTACATCAGCTACCACCAAATGATCCTTGTCAACAGTGAACCTGTGAATATAACACGCTCAGAGCTGTTGAAGTGGACAGCCAACCACACCCCAGGACTGTCTTACTGTCACAAAAGACACTGTGAACTTGACAAAACAGAAAGATATTTTTTTATGGTAAGAATTTCAGCAAATTAGAGTGAGAATCCTACATAATATGTTTTACTTTAGTAATGGTTAGAGTTGAAAAACAATTAGACTGAATAAGAATCTTGGGTTAGGAGAGATATTAAGTATAATGTCTTTCAACCAAGCCTCTGTTGTCTTAGGAGCTGCCTCAAAGCCCCCAGGGCAAAACATCACATGGTAGCTCATAAATAAATACTATTATTGCATGTCAATTTAAGAAATTTTAATAAAAGTTTCCAGCAGCATCCTTAGGTGAAGTGGGGGCAGCTTCACAGTTACCCCTGCTAGAGTGCTTGATTAAGGTTACTGCTAAGAAACATCTGAAAACTACTTATTCAGCTTAATTTCTATCAAAAGTACATATTTTAAAATAATCTATTATTTACTACAGTAATTTTGTGTCATTTTAAACACATGCATAAGGTCTCAAAGGAGAAAGTAAATTTTATCTGTCTTAGCACTAGACACAGGAAGATTCAGAGCAGCAATCTCCACTGAGAGTTTTTTAGAGGTTACTATTAGACATGAAAAATTGCTCCGTGGGTCAAAAGTCAATGTATGCAGGACTCCTGTCTGAATTTAATGAGGTTACATAAATCATAAACTGTCTTCCAAAGTAATTTCCAAGTTAAAGTTCACCTGACTTAACCTGATGGTCATTTCTTCATATTTCCTTCTCCTTTATAATCAGCTCAGATTCCACAAATAGAATTGGCCAGTTGAAGCACAGAACTAGATGGAAACTCTGTGCACTAGATTGGAAGGCCAAAAGGATTTTGGGGGGACATTCACAAGCAACAGGGCTGCACTCAGGCACCACAGGTTTATATCAGCTGCAAGAAAACTATGGAAACCGTTTCCACTGGAATACAACACACCTGTAGCCACTGTGATTGCTAAGGCATATCCAGCTCTGTGTACTCACCATGTTTACTAAGTTAAATTGAGGGCCTGAGTTGGAAAACACTATGACTTTCCTTCAAGTCCAAATTAAAGGACTGCAACACACTTGTTTTTTTGCTTTTCCTTTTTCCTCCATGGTGTTAGGGAAAATTAAAAGAAAACTCACTCTCCAAATAAAAACTAAAATACTACAAGGATTTCCACCCTCTGATGCTTAGAGATCATATTTCTGCTCCCCCCCCCCCCCCCCCCCCCCCCCCCCCCTTTTTTTTTTTTTTTTGTGGAATGGGACTGAAAACATCTGTTGAGACTTTGCTGTTTAAGGTACAATACAATGGATGTTGTCCAAAGCCTGAAGGGTTTTTCCCATCCCAAATTACATAGGACACACATACACACACACACAAAGCTAGACAAACATTCTCAGAGTCTGATTTCAATTGCACAATACCTTTTTGGTCCAAATATTTTACAGTAGGGAGAAAATATGTATCTCTTTACTTTGCACATAGCAGACTTCAGAATTAAAAACATCACCATTAAGTCACTATACAACAAATCTTTAGCTCAAAAACAACTTAGCAAGAGAACAGAAAGAAAGAAAAATTGTCTTCAAATACCTTTCATCGTTGGGCAGCTCGCTGTTGTCCTTCAGCCATGTGACAGTGGGGACTAAAGTGTGATCATGTTTCACTTTGCATTCAAAGGATACTGTGCTCCCTCTTTGTACAACAGCATATTCAGGCTGTTTGATGATCCTGGTTGGATCTGAAATCCAGTTATTGTTAGCCATTGGCCAAGCTGGAGAAGTTGCTCAAAGTTAAATAATACTTTAAAAAATTCCTGGCTCTGCCTTACCTTTGATTTCCAAGTGAACATCATTCTTTGCCATCCCTAATTTGTTCCTTGCAACACATGTATACGTTCCTGAACTATCCTTTTGTGCCACAGGAATTTCCAAAGTTCCATTTTCATGTAAAATATAAATGTCTTCACGAAGAGCACTTCCTTTGGCTCCTTTAAACCTTCATTACGGAAATTATCATGATGAGAATAAAATGACTCATAATTTGAGTCAAACATAAAATGCCATGCTCAAGGTCAACACAATCATGATCTGCAGAACAGTGTCAAGTTTAAAGACATATGGAATCTGTACAAGCATACTGATGCTTGAATGTCAGGAGGTATACATAAAGAGAAGATAAGACTAGAGAACTTAACAAAAATGGTGTTTTCAGAATTAGGCTAATAATATGTAAGTCTTAAATTATAATTTTTATGAGAGATACATAATTTAATAAATATATTATTACTTATTTTATCCTAAATAGGTGCTAAAATAGGCAGAATAGGCAGAGATAAGATAATTCTTTTTATCCCCCCCCCCACACAGTAAAGTATTATAACTCTATCTACAGGCTGCAATTTTAAAGGGATTTTGATTTCAAGGTTATATAGATTGTGTTTTTGAATGTCTGAAAAGGAAAATATTCAGGGAGAATAAAAAAACTCATATGTCAGATACCAGAAGTGAAGATGGACGAGAAAAAATGAGAGAAATTCAAACTATCATATAAGAGTGAATCTTGTCATCATCATGAGGAAATTTGCACCAGCATCTGGTTTCTGTTCTCTGTGGTTAAGGTGAGGGCCTAGGGAGATTTTCCTTTAATCCTAAGCCTGGCTTCATTCTCATCTCAGTAGCTGAAGTCCAGTACAGAATCTGGAACCTTACAGAGGATTCACAAATGTCTGTTTCAATTACTGTCAGCACTTGCCTTGTCTCTCCCCAACTCTTTAAAGCCAGCAAGGTAGTCACGGGAGGAGGATGTGTACAAGGAGTGGTGAGTGACAAGGGATGGTCTGAAGTGGGAAGTAAAAAGACACAGGAGAACTTGACTGGACTCAATAGAAAGACCTGGTGGGAGAGGAACTACAGAGAAAATCTGGTGGTAATAATTTCTGTTTAGTTTGCATAACCTCTCCCCTATACACTACATGATGCTTTATTATTAAGGGAAGTCTTCCAACCAGTGCCACCAGTCACTGTTCATAAAGTCCCAGGTGATGTCCATGGCATTTAAAATAAAGCAACCTTAAATCTTAAATTAAAAAAAAAAACACATTTACTAGCTTTGTGGTTGGTAGAATGTGCTGCTAAATAGGTTATATGTGTGAAAGTATGTAGCACAGAACAAGTAGTTAATAAATATTTGTGCATGAATGAATGAATTCAATGGTTAATAGTATGATGGATTTTGCAGTGTGTTTCTCCTGTTTGTTCTCTGACTAAAGCCCAGCATGTAAAAATGTGAAAGCTTTAGCAAATGCAAGTGGTTAACAACAAATAGGGCCACTACTTACCACTCAATGGTAGGCAGAGGAGACCCAAAGAAGACACAATCTAGCAAAGCAGGCCTGTTGGCAATGACCTGGTAGAGTGTATTTGCAGGTGTGAGGATTCGTGGTGGCTCAGCTAAAAACATTTAAACGGCACAATGAATATTAGAACACATTTTAGGTTTACAGTGTATTTACTGCACTTTGTATTAAGGTCATTAAAGTTTATGGTATAGCACAACCAACATGTCTCTTCCTTTATGTTCCTATGAGGTATGACACTACCAGTCATGGTGGGAAAAAAAATTTCCTTTCTTTTTGTCCTCAGCACAGTGTCTGGCACAAAAATAATGGCCTAGTGTATTTTCTTTGAATGACTGATGCATCATCACCCCACTGGGTGGGAATGGTGAGGAACAAATAAGCTGACATAAAAATCAGAGTGATGAGTGTGGTGACTTATATATAGAGAGGACTAAAAAGCTTCTTACAGTCAAGAAAACACAGTGAAGAGACAATCAACAGAAGGGAGAGAATGTTTACATACCATACATCTGGTGAGGGACTAACATACAAATATATAAGGAGCTCAAACAATTCAAATGATATGTAAAAACAAATAATTCAATTAAAAGATGAGCCAAAGACCTAAATTAACTAAAGAAGACATAAAAATGACCAAGAGGTATATTAAAAAATGCTCAAGACACCAATCATCAGAAAAATGCCAACTTTATCCAAAATGACATATCTATCACCGGATAACTATTAGAAGGGCTATTATTAAACAAGAAGCCAATTCTGTCATTTGTGACAACATGGGTGAAACTAGAAGACATTATGAGAAATGAAACAAGCCAGACTCAGAAAGACAAGTACTGCAGAACATCATTTATATGTAGAATCTAAAATGGAATATATAGAAGTAGAGAGAAAAAACAAACAAAAAACAGAAGTCAAAGCTTCAACATTCACCAATATCTTAACCACTTAGCTATGTGATTAATCACCTTTATTTCAACATGAAGAAAAATAATAAGTATCGACCAGCTTCCTGGTATTAATTTTGTTTGAAAAGAGAGAAGAGTAATCTTAAGAGTTGAAGTATGACTGCTTGGTACCATAAGAACACTTTTGCATAAATTTGAACAAGTGTGGATTTTTTTTCCCAGTATGAGAAATGCAACCTTCACATAAACCACCCATTTCAGAATATGTGTGAGTTCTACATTGTCATAGTTTTCTGAACATATTTTAATGAATTAAGTTAATGTACATCTATGATTTGGATAATGGCCAAGCATTAAAATTAATAGTTCATTTTCAAAAACTCAGAATCATGAAATTGTTATTCAAATAGTCAGTTTCTAAGGACAGAAGAGCAGGATTATTTAGTTGCTAATGGCAGACAAAAGCTATTTTCCTTTTGGGGGTTTAAACACTGTAATCATCTGTGAATGGACTAGCCTATTTGATTATTTTCTACAATGAAAAATTGCCTTTATGCCAACTGTGTTATGAAAGAACATTAAGACTTGACTGATGTTCTTTAGGCCAAATATTTTATCTTATCCACCTTCATATATTCCTTATAGCTCCAAGAACTGTGCATTGAATCTAATAGAAGCTCAATATATTTTTGCTGAGTGAGTAGAAAATAATAGTAGACATTAATTTAATTTGCCATGTCTTTAATAAAGGGAGAGCTTACCGAGCACATTTACAAATGCATTTGCCAATAAATATCCATATTCATTAGAGGCATTGCACTGATAAACTGCACTTGATCTTTCTTGAACATTTGAAAAAATAATGGTATCACCATCTATTTTTCTGCTGGGGTCATCAGGAGCAACTGTTGGGTTTAAAAATAGAAAGTGTATTATATATTTCTTTTTCCTTAAAAGACACACTTTAAACTTATAAATCCCAAGGTCTACATTGTATAAGTAGGATAGAAACACAGATTGCTCTAGGCATATGAAGCAAGAAGAAGACAAGAATCCAGGCACAATCTATTTTTTTTTTCAAACTCAGAATTTAGTTGCTACATGGTGTTTAGGTATATGCACAGTATTCATTTAGTCTTAAGCAGATTAATTCTATAACACTAAATATTATTTTGAGAGATGCAGAAAAGCAAGCACAAGTTTGGATGAAAATTGCACAAATTCAGAAAAAAATATAGTTTTGTTCACAAAGAGACTGTGGATACTTAAGAGGAGGCCAGTTAACCATGAAAAAAAGTAACAACAGCTTTGCAAAAACTACAGTCACTCCAGCACATATAAACTTGTCACTTTTAAGAACCCCTTCTTGGAACAAACAAGTACACAACTAAGTATGAGGCTAGCAATCAAATGTGAAAATATTCACTTTCCTGCTTTGAAAACTCCTGGAGCTAAAGAGGAAATCAGTTGTGTAAAATTTCTCTTAAAGGCAGCCTTTTCAGCTAAATCCCTCAAGTACTTTAAAGATGCAAAGAGTGAGGTTGATCCTTACTGAAGTGGAATAGAGCTAGCTGGTAATAGAATATGTGAGGATTTAGTCCAAGGCATGCCCAGCAATTTGGAACTACTGTAGGATTAGAGATGAATTCCTCTTTTTTTTTTACTGTGAATGCTAAACTGTAGTTTATGGTCTTACATGGCTTTGAAAGTACACTGTCTCAGCACACAGATCCAAATCAAAACTAAATAACTGCACCATTTTTTTTTCTGAACTTTGCAACTTGAACTAGCTAAGAGAGCTTTACTTTCATTCTAAACACCATCTTATCCCTTTGATGATACAAAAAGGATGTGCATCTAAGACATATTTATTGCTGCACTGAGACTTCTCTATCACTCTGAAATAAAGAAATATTGGTTTATATGTGGCCTATTAACTTTTAATTAAGAAACAAACTATAGTTATTCATCATTTTATTATACATACTCAAAGCATTTTGCTCACTCATTCTACAATAGACTTTTACTGTTAACGCAACAATTCACCACAAACTTAGTGGCTTAAGACAGCATAAATTAACAATCATTTAGTTCTGTAGATTGGAAGTCTAACAAGCGTCCCAATAAACTAAAAGCAAGGTACCAGAAGGCCCATGGTCTTCTCCTCCATCCTTAAAGCTATCAGTATTGCATCTCTTCAATCTTTCTTCTGTAGTCAATAGTTCTCTTCGATGACAGCCAGGAAAAAAAAAAAACTTTGCTTTTGAGGACTTCTGTCATTAAATTGGGTCCAAACCAGATAATCCAGAATAATCTCCACATTTCAAGGCCTTAACTTTAATTAATGTGCAAAGTTTCTTTTGCCATGTAAAGAAACATATTCACATCCTAATCCATGGATTAGGATGTGGAGGAGGCAAGGTATGAATTTGCCTACCACATATTTTTTCAGTTTATTTTTCCAGTACTAGGGATGGAACCCAGGGGTACTTTCCTACTGAGTCACATTTCCAGCCCTTAATTTTCTTTTTTATTTTGAGACGGGTTATTGATAAATTGCAGAGGCTGTCTTTGAACTGTTGATTCTCCTGTGTTAGCCTGGCGAGAAGCTGGGATTACAAGTGTGTACCACCCTGTCCAACTCCTGCCTACTATATATTCTATCACATTTATAGACTGAAAATCTTTCAGATGTTTCAGACCAGAATATACAAAAAAAATGCACCATAAATTAAAGATTACAACAAAGATTTTAGCTTCCAAGGATTCTCAATACTCTGATTCAGGAACTACTCTTCATGGACAGATTAATGCCTTCATTCCTGAGCAAGCATGAGAGATATTTTTTACAAAAGTAGTTGTATGACACTGATCACAATCAATAGCTAACTTATAAAATCATTTTAGGTACTTTCATTGGCTCAGTTAGTGGTGAGGGTGTGTTAAAATATTTTGAATTGATTTCTTAGCTCACATTTGCTGGTTTTGACTTTAATCTCTTCAAAAATTGCTTTAAGGAATATTCTCTCCCAACCAGAAGACAAACACAAGTCATAATTTTCAACAGGCTATGGATTCATCAATAAATGATAGGAATGTCACATTGGACTGTGAAGTGAAGCTGAGGTGGGCAGCCTTGGACCTGAGAAGATGGTGTATGTTAGGACAGCTGTGCTCTTTGTCCTAGATGCCCATCTTGTACCATTGGGCCTTTCTGACTCATGCTCTCAGGGATACCCATCCACTGCCTCAATGCTGGAACACAGAGCAGCATTTCTGGAGATTTCTCTGTGGGTTATTCTTACACCTTGTGGACCCAGCACTTGTCTACTCAGTGTTGGAACTCTTCAAAGGGATGCCAATGCCAGCCACATACCCACTCTTATGCCAGGCCGTGTAATACAGTGACACGTATTTCAGCACAGATCTCTGGGCCAAATCTTCCTGGATGGGTAGCAGACTGTGTAAGCAAAGACCCTCAAATTCCTTGAGTATTTTACACTCTTAAAAAAGCCACACAATCATAATAATAATAATAATAAAAGGTATACTACCATGATCATGGAAGACATAACTCAAATGACAAAGCTAGAAGAATAATTTTTCCCAAGTGGAGATTCATCAATCACAAACATGCCTCATTTCTGTAGCTCAGAGTAGTGTTTTTCTTTGGTATCAACTCTTTGGGAAGGTATCGTTTCTGGAAAGCCATCTGACTGTATCTGCCTTGTTTATACTAAATGGAGCACTCTTCAAATATTTACTTTTGGCAAAGTATTTAGGAATAAAACAAACTGTTTTAGTATAAGTAATGATTAAGCAAATCTCTTTCTCTCCATGGTAGTTTGGACTACATTTTCCTTAAGCACTTATTGAAAACTGCAAATAAAAACAGGAACTACCACAGTGACATATGGAAACTCAGTTGGTAGCTGGACATAGAATGAAATCACTAGTGCAGAGACATCTGAAGCCCTGGGACACTGTGCGTTGGCTTGTGGGTGGGAGTAACTTACCAACTTACACACCCAAATTACCTAAAGGAGTAATAATTCATCCTAGGAACAACCAATTTCTATTGTTGTAAACAAACATGTGGAGAAAGACATTTAAGGGCACAGGATTAGCACGTATAACTTGAAGCCCCAAAATTAAGGTCCAGAAGTAGAATAATAGCTTTCAGAAAACACTTTCTGTTAATCTCACTGATAGCCGGCTAAATCTTTAAAATGTTTTTTAATAACTATTCATAATTAATTTTACAAAGAACTTTATGAAAGAGGTTAATCAGATAGTATATGCCTTTTGGATATGGGAAACTACAGACGGGAGAGCTTAATGGTTTCTTTAAGTGAAATTAATGCTGAGGTTTTCTGAAGTAGTAAACTTTATAAACTTTCCTGGAATTATGAGCATTCAGGAATATTGTAGAATCAATCTTTGGGTGGAGTTGAATTTTCCTTGTCTTCTACTTATTCCATCCCCTTAAGGGTAAACAACCAAGCCCCTTACCTTTGAGAAAAGGAAGAAGGAAGATGCTTTGACAGAATCTCAGGAATATCCTCCAGTGGGCCTCATTCCCTGGCAGCTTACTATGCATTACTGGCTTTCAGTATGAGTGAAATATGTGATCGTGGCAGGAAGATATCTCCTGCCCTTTCTTGTCACCTTTGTTCTTTTCCCTTCTCATATCTGAGAGAAAAGAAGCCTTTCAACCTAAGAATGTGATATTATACATGTTCCATGCTGAATGGCCAGAGATCTAACACAACTTACATAGGAGATGATAAAAGAACTGCAGGCATCAGACTCTCCCACTTCCTTCTGGGACAGAGACAGGAATTATGGAGTCCACAGCCTTGGCCTTGGGGGTTATCAGGTTATCATATCACCAGGATGGCATGGTGATATGGCATGGACTCTCCAGTGGGGAAGGAAGGGAGGAGAAGAGGAACTTATGAACACTTATCTATTCTGGGGACAGTACAGAAATGTTTTATCCAACCTGCTGTCAGCAAGTTCTTTTTCTTTCTTGTTCTAGAGTTTAGCTCCCCATCCTCTCAGACACTGCAGGCTGCACAGTAAAATCAAGTTCTTTGGCACCAGTTCTTATAGCTGTGTTATTTTTTTACTTCTGTAGATTGTTTTGCAAACATTCTGGGTAGTTTGTGGGCAAATCCTACATTTAATATAATCTATTAGTTACCTCAAGGAGAGTTGTAAATAACTTAGACCCAGTGGGACAGAGCTTTATAAGCCATTGAGATAATTAGTGCAGGTGATTTGGAATTGATCCTTTCAGTTTGTAAAATAGAAGTTTCCAGATCTGAAATGCACAGTCGCAAACCAATAACTAATTTTGCTAGCCTATCTCATCTTACCCCTCCCTTGACCTGATCCTGCTTCTCCTTTTACAATATTTGTGTCCACTTGGCAGCCAGAGCCTGCAGAGTCACAGGAGGCAGTCAGTGTCTTTGGAGTAATAGCCCACAGAGTAGGGGTGGGAGTCTGTGTGTCTGGCAGTATGGGCCCCTGACTGTGTCTCTGCTGGGTGGCACAGAGGATAGACCTCAGGCACCTGGCAGGGACACTGCATGGCTTCCTATACAATGGTATTGCAGAGGCACAGCTGTACCCTGGCCCAAGCTGCCGGTCCACCCACAGTTTCTGCAGTCTCTTGGATAGAAGACATTGCCAGCAAGCCAGCTGGTGCCCATAGCCAACTTCTGGGGTCTATTCTAGGCTGATAATCCTTACAAGGCTCATTTGTGCCTCCATATATAGCAGCAGATTTTGCTATTGGTCCTATCTTCGCCTTCTCACATCTCTCTGCCTTCCTTCCCCTATATTCCAGCAATGCTGGATGCATCTGTATGGAACACAACTCAACAAGCTATGGATGAGAAACAAGCTGTTTTCAGAATGGTCCCCAAATCTCAAAACAATTCTTTTTGGGGGGTCTCTAAATTCATGTTGTAACCACCAAGCAGGGTGGAAAGGAGAAGCTCAATCATCCACTGATTTTTTTTTAGCAGTTTTTTTCCTCATTTATTCCTTATTTTGAATTAGGAGATGCCAATCTACAGTGGGGGCATGTTCACTTTAACTTAGCTACTTAAGGCTCAGTATCTACCCAAGAGACTACTCAGCAGAAGTTGTATGTGGACCAGCCACTGAGAGCCAGGAGTGGGGAACAATTGTGCCTCGGCAGTATCATTGTGTAGGGGTCCTGCAAGTCCATCACCTTTCAGTTCTGGGAAGTCCACACAGTAATCCATGCATGTCCATCTTGAACACCTTCAGGAAAGCTTCCCATCACCTTGGTGTAGACACAGCACCTACTCCCAGCACCACCTGAGGGCCTAGCTCCTTGCTTTGAGGCCACACTGTGGTGTTCCCCACAGTGCAAACTCTAGAGCGACTGCTCTGCTGCACACCAGAGGCCAAAGCACCCCAGCTCTGTAGGAGCTACAGAATTCCCATGTCTTCTTGGCCTCCTTTCTTTTCTGTCCCAAGGGGATTTGAAGAATACTTTTGGGATGGAAGAGATGAATTTATTTGGAAGCTGATTTGAGAAAGCTTGTCCTGACTCTTTCTGCTCTAGACCTATTTGGATGATTTGGTGTTAAAGAAGAAGGGACTAAATTGTCTCTCAGAGACCACTGCCTTCTTCCACCAAAGCCTTTTGTAGCTAATCCTCCCCCAAAACAATATGCTTAAGAGGGAGTATCTATGAGTGCATTTTTCAAAGTTCTTAACACAACTATAGTACAGGCTTCCCTCAAAGGTGCTGCTTACACTGGTGCTGTGGTCTGAATGTCTGTGGCTCTCCAGAATTCATACCTTGAAACCTAACTCCCACATTGAAACCTAACCCCCATGGAGGGAGTACTGAGGTGAGGACTCTGGGAAGTGATTAGGTCATGAAGGTTCCCCACTCTTGAATGGGGTTAAAGTGCCTTATAAAAAGTTTGAGAGAACGTGTTTGCACCTTTCGTCACATGAGCACACACAGAAGGCACAGCCCTAACCAGACAACAATTCTGTGGGAACCTTCATCTTGGACTTCCTAGCCTACAAAACCATGAGCAACACATTTCTGTTGTTTATAAATTATCCAATCTAAGATACTAGATTATACCAGTAGGAACAGACTAAGAGCCAATTTGGAAGGACAATGAGCAAATCAGGGGAAAAGAGCAGCCTCATTATTTAATCTCTTAGCCTTGTCTCAATTTTCCCTTCTTAGGGCTGCATTCTGACTGCTGAACGTGAGTTTAATCGACAGTGTCCCCAGGCTTCCCCATTTTCCCTACTGAGTGGCTAGATGGGAATTCCCTCCCACCTGTGTGTTTTGCTGAGTCTAGCTCTCAGAAGCATATTTAACCTTCCATAAATCACAAAGAACCTCTGAGCTGCAAAAACAGAAAACAAAAACATGGTGCAAAAGTGCTGAACAAGCTCCATCACTTACCACTATTCTGTATGTATCCCTAAGAAAGTCACATTACCATAAAACCTCCTTTAGTTCTGGGCTTTCTTTCACTTTTTCTCTCAATTTTCACTCATAACCCCCTGAGAGTGGCAGCAGCCTCCTTATATACAACCACAAAGTACTGTCACTTTTCCTTATCCTGATCATGAATAAAATTGGGTGTGAAAATACTGTAACCCCTTTTACTGGCCTTTTTAGAATCTGTTTTCTCTTAGGAACATACTTACTCTGAGCGTAAACATAGGCTGTCTAATTTGAAGTATCTGATGATTACTATGTTTTGGGACACAAGTGACTTTCCCCAAAGTACTCACAGAACAGGGTGTGATTTACTCAGTCTAAACCTGTAGTTATCACACTTGATGATGAAAAACAGGACTTGTGCCATCTTAAAAATACTGGTTGTTTTCAGATCAGTCTTAGTGGGGAGAGTAAGTTTCAGGAAAGCCAGTTCAATGGACCTTTTGATTATGTAGAAGCGGAATCAATATTTGACTCCGACTTAGAGGCAATCAGGGGTCTAGCTGCTTTCTACCATAAGCTGAAGGTTGCCTTTATTATGCAGATATTGTCTGCAATATCTTTGTGGATGACTGTGACATTGACTGGGAGGTGAACTGAGGAGGGGATTTGAAGAAGAAACTGATTGTCTCTCTCTGGATCTAAGAGGACATCTGGACCCCAAAAGTAGAAAATGTTTGGAGATTCCCCTGCCAGCAACAAATTCATGGTGAGTAGATGGAGGAAGATGACAGTAGTGGGTTGTGTTCACAGGAGTCCAAGGGCATTGAGGGGCAATATCCATTTTGACGTTTTTGTCTCCCTTTGCTATTGTTCCCTTCTACTATCTTCAAGCCTCTAACCAAGTTTTTAAAAGTCTGGTCTTAGGAGATTAATGGGAGGGCCTGTGGCCACATTTTGGAGGACCATTGTGGGCAGCATAGCAGCAGCTTGGGAAAACCTGGCTAATAAGAACAAGCTGGGAGTGCAGCAGACCAAGGAAGGTGGCTGTAGGTGACAGGCACAGCCAGGGTATATAGGCATCACTCAAGGGTGATTTAGGCAATACTCAGGGAAGGTCAGCTTGCAACAAATTGCGCATCCTACATAAGATCAGACCAGGGGATGTGTTCTTTATATGTTAAACGGGATGGTGATCTCTAAACATGGAGAATGTGGGAACATCTGGGCTACACTTAGGACTAAAAACTCTTGAAAGTAAGACAGCTGTGCTTCTTATTCTTGTTAGATCCATTGGCTCTAGGGCTACTCTCCTTGCCTGTCTCTTCTGATTCCTATGATTTTTTCCATAAATCACTTGATGTTTGATTATAGAAGATAATATGAACATTTTTGGTGATGTGTATTTCTGGCCATGTCACTCTTTCCATGTTATAAGGTAACAAAACAGAAGTATTGCCAAGTCCCAGTCAACACAAGCATGTTACACACACACACACACACACACACACACACACACACGCACACACCACTATTTTAATAATATAAATTACTGAAAGTCATAATAAATATCTAAAGGTAATGAAATAAAACTTTAAAGATCATTCAGCACATCTGTTTAACTTCTATATGGCTTTCTTCCTTGATCAGAGAAATTTCACCATTTGTTCACTGGTAAGAAATAGATATGCTTTGAAAATATCCTGCAACTACAGTCAATCAAAGAAACTTACTTTCTATTGGGACTCCATTTGTTAACCAGCTAATTCTGGGTTTGGGGTTTCCATTAGCTCTACAGATCAGGGTCCCATCCTCTCCTGGGGACAGCACAAGATTTTGAGGTGCCATGATCCAGTAAGGAGCCGCTTTATTAAAAGAAGAGAAAAAAAATCAAAATATGAATCACATAAGTATAATAGCAAAAGAATATGTTGAATTATTTCAGTAATAAAAATAGTTATTTTGCAAAAAACTGTTAGTCTCATTTTTTAAAAAGTGAATAGTAATGCTTGAAACTTTTAGATTTTCAAAAGGATGTTTAAAGAGATTCCCTGAATGTTTAAACACACTCTAGATCTCTTTGACACAAATTTCATTTTATATTTAAATCTATTGGACATCAAAGAGGTGTCAGATTTATCTGAGGTTTTAGAGTAATTTACAGGTATAGGAAAGGTTAAGAAAAAATGAATTTAAATTCTGAGCCCTGCAAATTACATAAAATTATAAAATTAGGAAGCCCCTTGAGAAAATTTTCATTCTTGAAAAGCTACAAAGGTAGCTTCATCATACATCCTTCATTCAGTTTCCATACATCCTTCATTTAGTTTCCTCTGATGTCAACATCTTATTATAAGCAAAGTGCAGTTATCAAAACAAGAAATTAACATCAATGCAATACTATTAACTACACTCTACACTTTGTTTGGATTTCCCTCTTTTCTGCACTAATGTCTTATTTCTATTCTAGGATCCTGTCTCAGATACCACACTGTATTGAGTCTTTATAGGTAGGTCCTTACCTCCTCCAATCAGACAGTTTCTTAGTCTTTCTTTGTCTTTCTTGACTATTACAATGATAGTTATTTGGTAGAATGTCTCCCAACAAAGGTTTTCCTGATGTTATCTCATGATTAGCTGAAGTTTTGGGTTTTAAGAATACCACCAAAGGAATGGACCAACTTGTTGTACCATATTGAGGGAGGACATGAGATCAACATGACTTCATCTGTCTTGGTTAAGGTGGTGTCTGCCAAATGTCTCCACTGCAAAATTAGTATTCCCAGCATTCCACACTTTGTTCATTGTGAGTCATTAAGTGTGCTCAGGAGAAGGGAAGTAAGTTCCATCTCCTCAAGAAAGGAATATTAAAAAAAATCAGTGGACATGCTAAAATTTCCCCAGTTATTCATGCTTTTAGGGAAGAGAAACATTTTGAAGCTATAGAAATATCCTTTTACTCCTCAAAATGTGACCCATTAATTTTAATGTTCATCAGTGAACCTTGCCTGCAGCAGTTGCCCTTATGGGATAATGGTGATTTTTGTATTTTCCTCATTCCTTCTATATTTATTAAATGGAATTCTGTAAGGAAGATTTGAAGGAGCAAATTTTTAACCTGGTGTAGATGCATTCTCAATAGCAATGAAAAGAGATTCAAGGTACTGTGAGTGCTGATATAAATTTACATTCATCATTACTGAAGAACATTATCAAAGGTATATTTAATTGAAGTATCAGGTCATTGTGTGAAAGCAAGAGGAATGCCTCTTAAATAATAATTTACCTTTAACTGTGACAGAAATGGTATGATGGATGGCTCCTAATGCATTTTTGGCTATACACTGGTAATTTCCAGAATCCGCTTCTGTAACATGAATAATCTGCAAGGTTTTCTTAAAGTTCCGATAAAATGTCCGGTTGATGGGTAGTATTCCATCTTCTTTTATCCAGTAAATAATTGGGGTAGGCCTGATGGGATAAACAATGATATTACAAAAAAAATGTTCATCTGTGACTACTTTTGAGGGTGAGTTTTCATGCAATTGTATAACAAATTCTTTAGCATCACACTTTTATAAATAATGCTCAAAACCTACATTTAAAATGGTAAGATACCATTTTCACATAACCAGAACCATATTAATTTGTGGCACACCATACACTTTGACTTCAGTGATGCAGTGCTGCTATGATAAGCTGTTTTACCAAAGGGACCAAAGTATTTTCTTCAAAATCCTTATCAATGAGGAGCTCTCAAGTATTTTTACATGAAGGTATATATCAAGAGAATTTCAATTAAATCAATGATATTGAGCTATATTTTTTCATTAGCTAATGGTAAAAATGTGCAGAGAAACTGGGTGTGGTGGTACATGCCTGTAATCCCAGCAATTTGGGAAATTGAGACAGGAGAATTATGAATTCAAGGCCAACCTTGGCAACTTAGCAAAACCCTATCTTAAAATAAAAAATACAAATGGGAATGGGGATATAGCTTAGTGGTGAAGCACCCCTGGTTCAATCCCCAGTACTCCCCATGCGAAAAACAAAAAAAAAAAGTACTGAGAAAGGGCTCATAAATATATCTGTGTCCCCAGACTTTCACACATTTTCATAGCAAACAATAAGAACTTTTCTATTTTATAATAGGCTAATTGATGACATGAATTATGTGATTAGAGGATTAGTATTTTTTCCTTAATTTCTTTATTAGTGATAGTTAAAAATATTATTATATCAATTGTTAAAAATTCAAATTTGTGTATTATATCATCTCTCATTCAGCTGTGTTTTTTCTATCTTTTCTACTTCTTTGATGGTACTAGAGATTGAACTCAGGGGTACTCTACCATTGAGCTCCATTCTCAGTCCTTTTTATTCTTGATTTTGAAATGGGTTCTTGTTAAATGGCCAGAGCTGGTCTCTGCTTTGCCATCCTTTTGCCTCAGCCTCCTGAAAACCTGGGATTACAGGTGTGCCCAACCACCTATGCTTCTTACTAAACCCTGAAATATGGAAACAGATAAAAAGCCAGGATATAGGCTTGAAGTTAAATCTTCCAAGTTCCAGCCTTATCCTTAAATTTCTGTCTGATTTTGGATCTCTGACCCTTTGGAGTCTTAGTTTCCTTAGCTGCACGACCTGACCTAATGATTTCACAAGGTTTTCATGAGGACAAAATAAAGATCCATTCAATACAAACAATTCCTAAGCACTGAACTAGACACAGAGCACAGAGTTATGTGCTGGGAAGGTAATGATAAAGTTTGGTCCAGACCTTAGGAAGATCATAATACTTGTCATTAGAAATGCAAGTTGATTTAACTGATAGTTTATAGTCTTGGTTTGGATTGTTTGGAAGAATAGAAATAATTGAGCAATTACTGAAATAATATATATTTGATGAAATAGCTTCTAATTAAACATGTTGTGCATATAAAAAGAGGTAGAAGATGAGAAATCATTTTGAAATTTGAACAACTATATCGTATGGAACCTGAAAACATAATCTGTTCTCTAATAGTTAGACTAATTTGAATTTCATATGATCTGAAGATGAAAGGGGAATGGGGATAGAAACATAATATCATAGTTTCCCCTTCGAAGAGCCATGACTCATTTTGGAGGACTGCTACTCTATTGAGCAATTGTTCCAAATTTGGAATGTTTTGATTCTTTGGGTTTAAAGTTTGTTGTTCTGTAAGAGATAGAGTTCCAATCTTGGTTTTATAATATTCCAGAGTTTTAGAAATTCTTTCAGGAATATTGTGAAATTTCCAAAGACCAACCTTACTTTATTTCATATTTTATATAATATAGGTTGAGCATACTTAATCAAAAAGCCTAAATCCAAATACTCCAAAATTTGAAATGTTTTAAGTGTCATGTTAGCATTCAACGAGTAAAGTCTATGTAAGTATTACAAAATTTAAAAAGGAGATATGAACTCCAAAACACTTCTGGTTCCAAGCATTTTGGATAAAGAATACTCAACCTGCAAATCATTTGTGGGAAAATGAGGCACCGAATTTCAGAATAGGTAATTCTACTACAGTAGGTTGGAGGTTGGAGATTAAGCCACTTTCTAACAAAATAATAAAAATTGGACTTTTTCTTTTTAATTTCTTTTTTCTTTTTTAATTTTGGTGGAAAAGATGGATTTTTAACATATCTTTAAAGGAGGTTGTTGCCAGTATTCAGTCTAAGGAACTGTCATATGTAGTGTGATTTCCTGACTTGGCCAGCAGAGGCCTCCAAATGCTTCCTGAAGTAGTTATTCCTGGACTCAGAAAAGATCAGGCCACTAAATTACCAGGTCAAGAATAGCATGGATCACAAACTGTGAAGGCAGCATGCTTCTGGGATCCCATTCAAGGCTGTTAGAGGATATTTTCCTATCGAGGCCCTTGCTCTAGCCAGGGACTGTGTAGAAACTCGCCTGTAATATAGACCCATCCTAATAGTTGCTTTTGTGTCTGGGTGAGGTCTTTGCAATGCCTGTCACAGGCACATCAGTTCTGAGATGTGCACAGATGAGACATTTCAAAGAACCAAGGTTTGGCCTTGTGACCTGTTAATAGGAAGGAATGTAAGGGACAATGTGCTAGTTATGAGGCTAGGCCCTAAGATGCTTGGTGAATTTCTGTTGTTAGGAGAACAAGCCAGGATGAAACTTGCAACCAAGAGCTAGGCCAACAACCAGCAGACCCTGAGAGTCACAAACCCTCTTCTGAGTTGTCTAGCAGATGCATGAGCATGTTCAACTTACAGTACAATTTCCCTGCAGACCTCCAGACAAAGGATCAATAGTAAACAGCTATTATTTTTAAGCCACTAAGTTTTTAGAAAATAGTTTCTTGCAAAATTATATGTCCCTATTATAACATAGCAATCATGAGGTAACTACTGATACTTATTTCAATGCAAACACTACTACAGTAGTGATTTATCTGAATAATGCGAATCATGCACTCTACTCTGGAAATTAATTGATGCTTGATGAGATTAGTATGACAATGACTCCTCCTATGATAGTAATGCTTCTCCACCAGTCTGCTATATTTTTATAAGAAATGTACATCAGGGCAGTGTGTGAACTCACAGGCCTTCTGCAATGCACTCCAATGAAAGCACATTTCCTCTTAATTCCTCTTTGTGACTTGCATTGCCTTCTGGAGTTAAAAATGTTGGTGGCCTCTCTCTACTTGATTTAGCTGCAAAGAAGAAAATAAATATGCATTAAAAATTATGAATATATATTTCTAGAAACTCAGTCACTGTCAAAAAAAAACCTGTCTAAAATTCTAATCCCTTTTCAAGACTATTTAGCATTGATTATGAAATTTATTAAACTACATCCACTTACTCATTGAAACAGGAAAATACAAATACAAATAATTTGGGTTGTATAAGCTCAAGTTGTAGTAAGGAATGTTTTCCTTTTGTAAATCCTTTTAATCTAGGTTAGGGTTTTACAAATTTTCTGTGGATTGACAAATTTCAAAATGTTAACATTGAAAGGAAAATTATGTTATCAAACTATATATCCCTTAAGATTAGTGCTCAGCTTAAAAACAAAATTAACTGTCTATCTTCTAGAAGATATTAGGTTTTTCAAAAAGGTGTCATTATGGAAGAGGTACTTTGGTTTACACTGGGGATAACTTTACAGCCAAATCAATTTCCAAACTCAAAAGTTTATAGAAAATAAAACAAACTTGGAGGACTACTGACAGAGGTCAGGCAAATTATTTGCCATAAATTAAGAATAATGGTAGACTTAGATAAATTAAAACCAGTTTCCTCAATGACAAAATAAAGAAGGTCTTACTTCAGAGATCTTAAGGATATTTATGCAGGTCAACTTTTTTATGAACTCTGCAAAATATAACCTTAACTTCTGAAGGCCTCTTGGAAAAACTTGAAGTAGAAATTATAACATCTTAAGAATCTATAGCTCTTCACTATTTTCAAACTTAAATAAATTACCTACTTGGTGCTCATCAGAGCTGAATGAATAAGTAATATATGAATTATTCTCATTTCTCAGAAGAAAAAACTAAGTACCAGAGAAGAGAAATTAGTTTTCTAAAGAATTTAGAGATTTTAGGGGAAATTTTCTTTTCTAAAGTCACTTTGGGAATGGTCTTCAGGCCCATATTTTTTAAGAGTATATTTAAAATAAATGAAGCAAAATAAAATAGCAGGAGTTGGGCTATGTCACTGATACCAAAATGTTCATATCTAAAGTGTGAAAAATTAATATAGTAGAAATTCTGTTTTCTGCCTTCTGGATAATTAAGAGGGCCCTTTATACAGAACCCATTATTTTTATTGATAGAAGTACCACATTTTCCTTTAGGAAATTTTTTTTTCAATTTAAAAGAATGAAGTTAAATGCTCTATTTTTTAAAGTTTAATTTCACTGAAGATAGTAACTTGGTTTCATACAAAACCCAGAGAAATAGTATTACTATTTGTATTGCATAATGTCATGTGAAAATGAATTGGAAATGTGATGATTTACTATGGAATCCACTTAATGTTAGTCACTAAAAGCTTTGATGTAGAAGTATTCTAGCAGGTTAATACACCAGTCGACTCTTATTTAGTTCATGAGAAAAGTTTATGAATAAGACAAAAAAATGGAAAATATAATTCAAAACATATATGAAAGATTTTATCCAGATCAAGTGAAATGGTTATTTTACATGAGAACAGTTAAAAACAAGTTTCATTATTATACAGACACCATGGAAAATGTTTTAGTGACATGCTTGAAAGTTTACAGCTAAATTTTATAGGAAACACACATTGATACTAGTGATACTAAACATATAACTAGAAATTTCATAAAGAAATAAGGTTAAATAGCCATGGAGGTGAAGTTAGTGAACTAAAGTCTACAATGAAGGAGAAAATCAGTTACAATCACCATGACTCACCACCATTAAACTCAGTGTCACTCAAATTAGCAGCTATAGTGTCATTCAATTCATCCACTGAAATAAACAGAATATTATGAAGAGGGCACAAAAGTAGGGGAGAGGGGTCAAAAACCACTGGGCAGCAAAAACAAAAGTATACAGCTGTGCTAAGTACCATCCCTACCATGTAAAAATGGTGCTTAACACTGTATATGACTAACTCATTATTAATTCACTCAGCCACCCCCAACCAGTAATATGTAAATCTGTGACTTATACAGCAAGATTGTCAAATAAAAGGCATTGTGGGGCATAAAGTACGCATCGATGTTCAGAATACCAAGTGATTCAGAAGGTCATCATGGAAACAGTAATGGCAATCACACCATACAGTATTTAGGATACTCATGCTCTTTCCATCTGCCACCACTAGTGATCCTTCACAGGTAGTTTCCTAATCAATGAGCCTATTTATCTCAGTAGAATTTAATGGTTTATAATTTTTCACATGTGTAAACATCACAGAAAGGAAAATTTGGAAATGAACTCTTACCTGAAACTACCTTCACAGAAATAGGTTGTTTTTGCTGTATAGTTTGAGTGTGATTAAATCTGGCATAACAGATATAGTCTTCACGGGTATCTTCTGGGAGAACATTGGAAAAATAAAGGTCTCCATTCAGACCTTGGGAAACCCTCTCACTCTGTGGAAGTCTTTGAAAGGCTGGAGAAAGGCAGAAGGAGAACCAGATCATTCCATCATAACATGGCCACACTCCAAATTAGCAACTTAACTACCAATAATTCTGTGGACACTTCACTTAGGGGAAAAATATATACACACACACACACACACACACACACACATATGTACACACACAGATATAAATATATATATATTAATACTTTTTTCTTAGTTGTAGTTGGACACAATACCTTTACCATATTCACCTACCCAGTGCTAAAGATTGAACCCAGGGCCTCTCACATGCTAGGCAAGTTTTCCACCGCAGAGCCACAACCCCAGCCCAATATATATAATATTTTAATAGAGTTCTTAAGAAAAAGCAATTATATAAAAAAATGGAAGACACACTAGAACTCCAACCCTAATTTCATAGATGGAGGAAGAGACGAGATTAGAGTCATCCAGGGAAATGTTTTATTTAAGCAAGTATAAATAAAGAAATGTTTTACAAAAGTTTGTATGACTTTTCCTAAACTAATCACCCCTGTCTGTGCATATCTTAGAAAATGCTTTAAGAAAGTTCATAAAGATGTTAATATGATCTGTTTCTATATGATTGCTGGTCCCTGAGCAAGGAGTTGAGCATACCAGAGCCCCAATCTTGTCTGAGCTTATGATCTAATTAAAGAACCAGGCAGTGAGTGGGAAATTAACTAAAGGGTGAGATGACGACATTATTCAAGGCTGCAACCTGCCCCTGAGAAGCAACCCTTACCCCAGTACCCCTCTCCTCCTCCACTTTTTCCTTTCTGAATTATCTATCATCTATTGACATACTACGTCTTTTACTTTTCATATCCCTGCACCAGAATTCAAGATCCAGGAGAGCAGAGACCTCCATCTCTTGTATATATTGTTGTGGCTCTGGATCAGTGCCTGGCCCTTCAGAGGGACTCCCTCAAATACTCATGGAAAGATTAAATGAATAACCAAGGACATGCTGAATTTCTAGTTTCAGGCATGATAATTCATTTCCCCTCAGGTCCAAGAAACTGTCTAGCCTTAGGCATGGAGAGAAGGTCTGTTACCCAATGGAGGATGCAAGGAAGTGGAACTCACTATCTCTGCAAGAAGTTACACTTGGCTAGCTAAAAGGTCTCCTGAAGCTCCTGACTCAGTTAACAGAGCCTGAACTGTGAGAGTTCTTTAGTTCCAAAGTGAAAGAATAAGGAAAAGTTGCACATCTTAGTGGCCTCAGGCCAGGTATTTGTCTTTTGACAAAATTTCTTCAGCTTGAGTTGAAACAGGTGCCTGGTCTAACATTTCACAAAATGCAAAATCATGGTTAAAAGGCTCCCTCAGGCAAGAAAAGGCCAAGAAACTTGGAACCAGAGTTTAAAAGAATACCATCAGTTACATGTGTAAGCCAAGCTCTTGGTCAAGATAGGGGTTTGGTAGTTGTTGTAAATTCATAGTTTTATCCCCTGGAAAACAACAGTTTTAAAAATACTCAGAAAAAAAGAAGGAACATTTATTTAATGAATGCAAAGAGCTAAAGACAATCATATATTTATTGTCTTTTGTTTATCCTGCAGTATTTTATGATTCCTGGGTGTTGGTAGATCAGATGTAAGGCAACGGGCTTCACTATGGTGGTATCATTTTGCTCTTTGAGTTTTTTTTTGTATTATGCTTGGAAAAAATGTATGAAGATATGAATAATTTAAGTTATCTTCCAAAAGTGCTCTGTGGAACTAATTGCTTTCTCATATTGCAAATGCCATTTCCATCTGAAAGGTCAGAAGCTTTGTCAACAGCTTAATATGTACATAAACGATATAGCAAGCTGTGCAAAGTGGGAAGAAAATTAGTTACATACTCAGATGACCTGAGAGTTTACATGCAGTATATCTTTTTATTAAGCAGAAAGGAAACCATTGCTGATTAGGACCAATGACCAAACACTGGGTCTCTTTTTTGACAGTGACATATGGAGAGTGTTGTTCTCAAAACCATTTGTCACTCATATATTGGGTTGGCTACTTATTCTTTCAAAACCTGTAAAAAATGTTATAAAGTGAAAATAAAAATGTGTTGTCATATTTATTTCTTTATATATTTGTTTTTAATTTCTTTGTGATACTTTGAGTGATTTCACATAAAAGTTAAAAAATGAAAATTGAGTGTTAAGAGTCAAATTTTCTCTTTAATAATACATGTAGCCTTTGGTTGCAGAGGAAATCATGCCACTGGGAAGAGACTTCTTGAAGTACTTTCTTTACCTTGCTCTTGGGGCACCACTCTTCCTGTGTTCTCTTCTGACCTCAGTGACTGCACCTTCTCATTTCCTTTCCTGGTTTCTCCTTAAGTTGGTGACCTCTTGAGGGCTCCTGGTTTCAGTCCCCCAGGCTCTGTTCTGCACCACCTGCACCCACCCGCCTAAATTCTCCCATCCATTCCAGTGTTCTAAGATGTGCTGTCTATGCAATAACATTGCACACACCACTGATCATCCTTCTGCTACATGCACCTCTGACTCTTATTGGGCATCTGGACATGAATGCCTTATAGAACTCACTCTCTGGTTGCTTAGTTTACAAGCCAAGCCATGTGTTTCCTCTGAATGCTATCCTATTAGCATAGGAAAATTGGGAGGGTAGAAGAGGCAGAGCAGTAAATAATTCCTTCAAGGAGAAGATCAAGGGAAGACAAATTTGAAACTGACTAATAGGTGGCTTTCTCTTTGCCTCAGTTTCCTCATCTGGAAAGTGAAAAAAATCATAAAATACTCCTTATGGGGTTGTTTTTAAAAATTAATGGGGTGGCCCATGTGATGTTCTTAGCAAAGGGACTGGCACTAGTAAAGGCCCAATGAATATTAACTATTGTTGGGGATAAAATAACAAAAATATGACACGTTCAAAGCAGTTCAGTTTCCTCCCCACTGAGGGCTTCTGCTGTTTCAGGAAGTGGCAATCCATTTTATCAGCTGTTCAGTCTCCAAACTTGGTAGTTATCTCTTCTTCTTCCTCTCTCTCCTGCCCCCACCCCAATACATCCTGAGGGCTCTACCTTCAAAATAAATCCAGAATCTATCTTACTCTACTGCTACCACCCAAGTCCAAGTACCTTCAACTATTGCCTAGAGTACAGCAGAACGCCTAACTGGCCTCCCCTTTAGTCCTCTATACTCTCCATACCCCAGCAGAAGTCACTCTGCTACTATTTATTTTATTTCAGACAAACGCTCCTTCACTGGTTCGCCAGTTTATTCAGAGCAAAAGCTGAAGCACTTTTCTTTGAGTCCTGTGACTTCCATGATCTTGTTCATCTTCCTCTCTCTTGGATCTCTCTGTCTGGACACACTTGTCTTTTATACACACCAGGATGCTCCTACCTTAGGGCTTACACCTGTGCTCCCTTCTACATGAAACATATAGGGGCCCCACCTGCTGTCTTATTTTCTTAGGTCTGGGCTCAAAACTCTGTTTTCTTCTCTTTTATAACATTTATTATCAACCAACAAAGATTATCTAAATGCATTTATTGTCTGCCTCCTTCTCCAATCCATCCTCTTAGATAGAATGTAAGCTCAGTGATAGTGGTGTATTTGTGGTTTATTTGGAGCAGTTTCCATTGTATAGTAAGTGCTTGATAAAATTGAAGGAATAAATGAAATGGCATGTTATTTATTTCAATGAGCAGTATTTTCCTGAGCATCTCTATGATATTTTATGAATACTTCATGAATCTCCAAAAGAAATAATTTATTATGACAGAAAAAAAAACTTTATAAATAAACTCTTGAAGAAAGAAAATTCTTGTTGTTAAAACTTACAGTTATCCATCCAAAATATTATAGCTGGTGGTAATCCAATTGGGGGTCTACAGGGAAGTACTAAAGATTGACCATTTCGAAGTATTATTGGTTCAAGTTTTTCTTTGGTCCATAACGGTGACCCTATTAAATAATTTAAAAAATAACTTCTGCATTATTTTTGAATGAAAAAAATTTAATAAGTACTACAGAGAAAGGCAAACCAAACTTTTTGGGAAATAGAAATTTGAAATTTATGTATTTCAATGAGAAAATGACATTTAAATACAGTGTTAAAGGTTAAAAAATCAAAACATAGTAAAAAACAAAGAAATTATCACTCACTGCCATTGATAGTCTGAATTCTAAGTCAATGATTTCATGTCTAAAAATGTATACTAAACACATCATTATAAAGACACATAACTTTGATCTAAGCATGTTCTCCACAATGAGTATACCTTTGAATATCATACAATATTATTTAAGTCCACTAATTTGTAAGATTGACATGAGAATATATATGCTATGTCAGTAGTTCAGAAAAGGTTGGATTTCAGAATGAGCTGGCTTTATGCACATACATATATATCTGCTGGAAAGAAAAGAAAAGAATATTTGAGCAGTGGTTATTTCCTTGAAAGAAAGGACACTTGAATGATTTTTAAATTTCTTTTTTTACTTGTAATTAATTTTTCTATAATGAACACATTATACATGTAATTTTAAAAGTTTTCAAAATGACCAGAACAGCAAATGCTCACTATTCTTTAAATATATGCATACAGGCTCTTGAGGTTTTCGAGAAACTTTTGGTACTGACCACTGCAAAAAGAACCACAATAAAAATTTGAAACAAAAATGTTAAAAGAAATCACCTTCACCCATATACTGAATTTATTTTCATCTAGCTATTAAAAAAAACTTATACAAAAAGCATGTGAGAAAAAATTAGATCAGTTCCAGGATGAAACTTTTTTAAAAAAATAAATCCTGGTCTTTTATTCAGGACTTGGATAAAAGACACAATGGATTGGCAAAGCATTAGGCTGAGAAGTTTTGCTAAGGGAAAGCAGAAAGGAGCAATAACTTTCATACAAAATAAAGTAAGAATATTGTAATCGATGTCATTGCTTTCTTATTACAGTATTTGGATGGTGATGTAACAGATGCTGAATCTTGGATTAATATTTTTCTATTTTATTTTGTGTGTGGTACTAGGGACTGACACCAGGAGTGCTCTACTCTAGAACTACATTCTAGCCTTTTTTTTTTTTCATTTAAATCAAATGGGGTATAATTTCTCATTTTTCCAAGTGTACAGGTTGCAGAATCACATTGGTTATACATCCACATATATACATACAGCAATACTAGTGTCTATTTTATTCTGCTGTCCTTCCTATCCCCCCTTCGCCTCCCCTCCCCTCCCATCACTTCTCTCTACCCAATCTAATGTGACACATTTCTTTTTTTCTTTTTTTCCCTCACATCATCATACATGTATTTTGTATAACGATGAGGGTCTCCTTCCAGCTTCCGTGCAATTCCCCTTCTCCCTCTCATTCCCTCCCACCTCTCTTCCCTGTTTACTGTTAATCTTCTTCTCATGCTCTTCCTCCCTACCCTATTTTGAGTCACCCCCCTTTTATTTTTGAGATAGGGTTTCTCTAAGTTGCCCAGGCTTGCCTTGAATTTGAGATCCTCCTGTCTTAACCTCTCAAGTATCTGGAATTATAGGCGTGCACCACCATGCCCAGCTTGGAATAGTACTTTAAATGATCATATTTGAAAAGTCTCACTTACTGGATGGGCGGACGACAATGTTATTAGAAATTGCAGCACCACGCTCATTCCTCGCCGTACACTGATAGACTCCTTCATAAGTCTCTGCTTTCCCTTCACTCATAATGTTGATTATAAGTGTTCCTGATCCAGGCTTCATGGTGACCAGAGGGTCTTTATCTATGTCAAAATGAGTTCCATTTCGTGTCCAAGAAAAGCTGCCCAATACATCAAGAGTTAAGTTTATTAATGATCCAGAAAAAATAGGATTATTTACTTTTCAACAAGTTCCTAATAGTCATGAATCCCTAGAAACAATCATTAGATTTTAATATAAAGTAGAAAAGCAATAATTCCCCATATTTAAAATGTTGCTCTGAGTCATGACTTAGAAGAAGGTGATGGTTATACATTTTGAGGTACCTGTCTTCTTCAAAGCTCAAAGCTAACACACATTGCCTGTCACTTATCCAAGGAAACACAGGAAACAGTTCTCTCAGGCATATTCTCTTTGAGTTTTATTAGCATTTTTTATTGCAAACCCCATTATTCATAGAGTTGATAACCTGTCTATAATAATCAGCTCTGGGCTGAAATGTGACAAGAAAGTATTGTCTATATGAGCTGAAAATTGATCAGACCCGTTTCAAATTACCAAAATGCAAAATGGAGGCTGGGATCAGGGTAAGAGTTACAAGTTCAGGGTGTTTTAAATGTTGGTTATTAAAAGTGGTAATTCTATATAAACTCTATTTTGAGAATTTTTACTCTGAGAGATGGTTTTACAAATTCCTCGAAGGTATGCCAAATTGTCAACTGAGATTTCTCTTTCTTGGTTTGATTTACACAAATGCCTCCTATAAAAGTCACAGTGCTCATGCGATTCAATGCTTCATAACTAGTAACAAATCAGTGATGGCCAAGGCCACTTAAAGGCATCCATCTCTAAATGTGCTTTCTGGGCCCACTTAGATTTTCCTTTATCTGTTCATCCTCACAGTGGTGGTTGCCACAAGGGGACCGTGGGGATGGGGCTCCTGGCACTTGGCAGGTAGAGGTCAGGGATGCTGCTAAGTGTCCCACAGTGCACAGGACAATAAAAAAAATATTCCATAATGAAAAAATTATCCCACAATAAAAAAATTATACAACCCAACTTATTGATGGTGTTGAGGAGGAGAAACCCTATCCTATAGAGAATTACAGAAGGTAGATATTAAACAAGCAAGAAGTTGAAGGGGAACTTCACCAAAGAACATCATGTCAGGGCTTGTGTGGTAAGAATTTCCAATAATATGGCAGAATATCATTTTAAAGCAAACCTTTGATAAGGATTTTGATATACCACGATATTTAGTGCCAGTTAATTTTCTCCTCAGGTGCTGATTTATAATAGTAGTAAAATCCTATAATAGCCAAACTTGGAAATAAAATATCTAAAACATTTCACTTCTTTGTTACTTATAATTACATTTATTATAATTTAATAATCATTAAAGTTATTACAATTTACTAATTATTAAAAATCATTGTATTTTGATAACAACCTAGGTGTAAAATTCTAATGTACTGGACAAGCCATAGATCATCCACTATAGGACCTTGGATAAGTTATCTAGTATTGCTGGGCATCAGTTTCCCATCTAATAAATACACCAATTTGACAGGGTTTTGATGGATTCATGCCAAGATCCACACGAAGAATCCTGAGTACTGAATCCTAACAAATTGGAAAACTATTCAGGACTATATTACAGATCACTATAAAGGTAGTAGAGATCTTGAAAGTAGTAAATTTAACTTCTTCTTTTTCTTTTTAACAGATGAGGAAACTGAAACCCAGAGAAATGGGATTTGCTCATGTCATAAGGCCATTAGTGTCAGAGACTGGATTGGAAGGCTCTTTCCACATCTTCCCATAAATTATGAGCATTCTGCAGAAAATCTGCACATGAAAATGCAATAATCTGGGATTTTAAAAGGAACAAATTGGCTCTAATTAATCTGGGAGATAAAACCATAAATCAACAACTGATGCTTTAGGAATAAGCAATTGCCTTCTGTATCTTGGAAGAGTTAAAATGAACTGTGGAGTTGGTAAGATAAACCAAAGGGTAATCTAATCAATCACACTGAGAAATGTCTAACTCAAAAAGAAGAGTTCTACATGGCCTACCTTATTCTACAGAGTTTCCAAATTTATTTCTATACTTAGAGATTCCTGGACTTATTTTCAGTACTGTCAAAAAGCAGAAAGTACACTCACCTTGGAGGAGGCTTCCCTTTGGCCTCACACTGGATCACGATATTCTCTCGAGGGTCAATAATGTAATCTTTTGGAGACTGGTGAGTGATGGTTGGAGGTTGTACCACTACATTTCAGAAGGAAGAATAAATGTAAAAAAATAAATCATGTAATATCATACAGCAACCACTTTTCCTAATCACTTGCAGGACACTACATTTGCTCCAAACATCTCTAGTAATTTCCAATGAGGCTGTGCATACCTCAATAGACTTTCAACCTCAAGTTGAAGTTGAGGCATGACTTCCTTGGGGTAACTTTACACACACTCACCAAGTCCATTTTCCCACACTAAAAGTTTGGGAAAATAATCACCAATATAATCCTAATATTAAGACATTTCTTTCTGATGTAACAATGAGAAATCCTTCTAATTCTTTTGGTAGAAATGATGTCTTTCAATGGAATTCAAGTTGGGATGTAAATTTGAGTCTTTCTTAGGAAAGAGTAATTTATAGTTCATTAGTGTGCTTATGTATTTTAAAATATATTGGGAACACGTTCACTTGAGAATCTTAACTTTAAAAGATCATTAAATTGGAGACCTGACATGCCTTATTAGAACCAGAGGTAGGTGAATTAGGAACAAGGCAAAAACAGTCTTATTTCAAAGATAATGAAATTGAAGTTCTGTGTTCTAGAAGACAATGTTTCCATTTCACTTTTCAAAGTGTTATCTGATCTTTTATTATGAAATTGTAGGGGGAAACTGTTTTGACTCTGAACAATCCAATCTGAAGAAAGCCAGTATCTGTACCTCTGCGGCTCTTCAATTTGCTCTAAGGTCACCATATCTTTCCTCTTGTGAAATCAGAATTACAATGTCAGAACAGGAAGTCTCTAGAGAAACGACCTATTTCAACCCTTGTTTAGAGTGGCAAATGGCGTGACTAGGAAGGCACAAAGCAGAGAACAAAATTCTCTAGAAAATTCTCTCCTTGCTTACTCCTGCCACTACCTTGCACAACTCCAGGAGAGCTGTTTACACACACCAGTGGTTCTCAACCAGGGCAATTTGCGCCCACCCTTCCAGGGGTATTTGGTCATATCTGTAGACAATTTCAGATGTTACAACTAGATAGGTGGCTGTACTGGCCTCTCACAGGTAGAAGCCAGGGATGTTCCTAAATATCTTCAAGTATACAGGAAATCCCCCACAGCAGACTTATTTGGCCTAAATATCATTAGTGCTGAGCCTGGGAAACCTGGCACAGGCCACATCATGAAAGGCATTCCCAGAGTCCTGCCATGCAACGGCCCTGATCCAGTACACCTCCCCTCATCTGAAACTTTCCCTGAAACCCTCCTTTGAACTTTCAATTTCCTTTCCTTTGTTGATGCATTTGACTTTCTGGATCATTTTGGTTTCTCATCTTCTGGATCTTACCTGTCCTCTCTGCCCACATTCTGTGCTTGCTTTGTGAAAACTCTTCCACCTGCCAACCAAGCATTTTCCAAAGCTTAGTAACTGCCCCCTGCTCTTGTCCTTATTGAGGTTAACTGTTGCTGGGGCAAAATTTATTGCCTCTGCATATAAAGCTTTGTAAATCTGAGAACATGGTTCTCTTCTCTTGCCTTGGTCTGCAGCTTATTGCTGCTGTTCACTAGGCATTTCCTACTAAACATCCAAGTAAGTCCTAAATTCTAAAGCTAAATTCTTTCTGGTTATCATTTATTATGCACTAATTAAATGTAGCCTCCTGAACAATATAAGTTTCCTTACCCTTTAGCAACATACCATCGCCTTTTCATCTTCCAACTAACCTGCCTCCTCTTTTAGCCTTTCACCACACACGTAAATCCCACATTTTTCTAGCCCTTTCAATTTCCAATGCTGGTTAGCAGATTGGTCCAGAGGTTCAGAATTTGTATGTTTGTTTCTTACTAACTGTGGGACTTAGGCAAGTTTCTTAATTTCTGTCTGTCCTAGTTTCTTCAGAGGGAAAGTGAGGTTTAAAAGTAGTATTTATATCCTAGGGTAGCTGGGGGAAATAATAAAATAATTTGTGTAAAATTCTTAGTAAATGCCAATATTAGAAATGTTTGCTATTTTTAAATTATTGCCATAATTATTTTTATTTGTACCAGATTTACCTGTGAGGAGTGATTGATTGATCTCTCTATCTCTAGGAATGCAGTTTGGGATGATGGAAGGAAGCCTGGGATTGCACACCTCAAAAATGGTGAGCATAGGCACAAATTCCGTGGTTTCAAATGCAGAGCTTCTCTCATGTGTCTACAGCTTATTGCTGCTGTTAGATGAGAGCCAGCTTAGATGTCACTCCTAGCTGCCAGGAGTTTACCATCTGGAGGTACCTTTGTGAACAGTGCTCTGGTCACATGGCAATGAACAAATGTTTTGCAGTAATAAGTAGTAATAAGTGATTTTACATAATTTTCCTGGCTAACTCAACATCAAAGGAAATTTTCAAATGACTGAAAACTGACTATATTTTTTTTCAGATGATACATGCTGCCCAGCTGTCAGAGACAGCACAAGGTTTTGCTTAGATTAAGCACTCAGAAATGATATAAGTGGGGGCTGCTTGTCTTTTGCATACTTCAAGACAATATTCTTGTCTGCTGGGTTATTCTACCGATGTCATTTAGAAACACTAGCCTGAACAGTTCTGAAGGCTGAAGGAGCAGTAGAGAGACAATGGCTGACCTGGTGAAGCTTCGGCATGCACCCACCTTCTAAAAGACACCAAAAACATGTGTCTTTGTTCTAGCAAGCATGTAAAACTAGATAATCATTCTTGTGTATGTGTGTTGGGGATGGGGGATACTGTGGATTGAACGTAGGGTTGCTGTACCACTGAACCATATCCCCAGATGTTTTATTTTTTATTTAGAGAGACAGGTTCTCTCTAAGTTGACCAGGCTGGCCTCAAACTATGGATCCTCCTGCCTCAGCCCCGCCCCCTCCCGTCACTGGGATTAAAGGTGTATTACAGCTTGCCCAGCGACTTGGAGGGCTGTGGATTTTCTCATTGAGTTACATCAGATGTGAAAAAAGCATGGAAGTTAGTAGAGCAGCATATTGGCAAGAGAATAATACCCAAGTCTTCACAATTCATGCAGGTAATATATTTGAACTTTGATAATCAAAGGCAATATTTAACTATAGTAAACACACAAGCTTAAAAAGACACTTGTCACAAAACATAACATTGTGCATTTAATTTACAGTACTAACTCAAAAAACAAAGACATAGTCAAAATTTCACACTGCTTAGTAATTTATAGAAAGACACTTACAGTCTTCAAGAAGTTTTGCTTTTTCCCCATCAATATCAGCAGGTGAGTGGGCAAACAGGATTAAAGAAAATCAGATGTTAGTAATGAGAATGTTAGAACCTGAAGATAAAATGGGTGTCTCCTCCTCAATTTGATTTGACCTAAAAACCCATATTGTGAAGGCTATAGTTGTGAAGTTGTAAGAGAAAGAAACTGGCATTGATGCTTTTGTTTGCTCCTGCAGCAGCTTCTCACATAAACATAAGAAAGAACAAAAGCAATGCTATAGGCAAAAAAGGAAAAAAAAAAAAAAGAAGAAGAAGAAAGAGATTCTTCCAGGAATAGGAATGGCTAATTCCAACCCATACATATTGTGCTGGACATGTAATTATGTTCAATTTGAAAAATAGCTGAACTCTACAATTAATTTGAGTTGTCACATACTGTGTAGTGTCTGATCCTATTATCCCAGACATCACTATGCACATGATAATCATACCTAACAATGGGACATCGCTACAATGACAACGCCCCATTCACGCCAAGCCCAGCACTGATTTCAGAATTTTATATTTCTATGAGTACTCTTCAAGTCTGTAATGAAACTTTTTAGGCTGTTAGCATCTTTCTGCTTCCAAATTTCTCAATCATCCAGGGATGGCTGGGTCCTACCTTAAGGAGTGGTTCACATACTAGAAAAAGGGTATGAGGAACAGGGGCAAGGAAGAAATTACATTTGCATGCAGTTCTAATCATTCTGCTGTGCTGCCTGTCATTACTACTTGTAAAGGTTAATGCAGGAGTGCCTGGGTTATCCGTGACTTTCTTTTCATCATGGTGCTGCCTCTTCTCCATTAGCAGCGATAATTGAGTTAGCCCTAGGTGCCCGTTTCCCTCTGATTGTTATTAGATTGAGCATTCAGATTAAAAGGGAATATATTTAACATGAGAGAGAACAAAAGCATTTCTCCCAAGCATTTCTTTCTGTTGTATCTGTTGGGGAAAATGCTTATTTAGGCATTCCCATTCCAACAAGCTTGAGTAAACACATATAAATTAAAGCTACTGGATGAGCATTTTTTTAAAAAACAAGCAAAATAGTGCATTTTATTGTATTCTGCAATATAGAAGTACAGCAAAGGAAGTGAACAAAGTGTGGGGCAAACCACATCTCTTCTTAATGTCTTCCCACTGGCTGTTGCGACTTCTATGGCAAAAAAAGTGCATCCTAACAATTGAATAGCCCCAGGAAAGTGCTGTCTTCCTTGCACCTTGGAAATCTTGCCAAACAGATGTTCTATTCAGAAAGCTAATGGATTTAGAGAGGTCATGCAGATTAGGGATAAAGGATAAATCAATTCCGGAGTACAGTAATTGTCCAGATTTGAAATTCTGCTTTCCATGGCAAGAAAAGTGAACAGTTGGAACCTAGAATTATCTTTATTTTTCACAAACAGGCCACCCAAAGCAGACAGAATGTGGTATCTATTTTACTACTGGGACAAGAGTAGACTAAATAGAATAGCTGTTGTTTGCTTCATTTTAGTATTTTTGCAGATTGCTTATTGTCAAAAATTTGTATCTTAGTCTTTGATCATGTCATTTAAATTAAAAAAAAAAAGACTATTCACTAGGCTTGTGGCTACGACACTTTTCCTAGTTCCAGACTCATATTTAGGATTCAAAATTAGAAAATGAAATAAATGTGCCTTGTCTAAATCAAGATAAATTAAGTATGGGTGGTTTGGGATACAGGGGATCTAGGGTGGAGGAGTCCATCCAGTCCTTCGGGAGCTCTCTCTGCCTAGGGAGGGAGAAAGTGACATAATAATGGGATAAGTGGGGAGGTCTCCAAGATCCTTGTGAAGAGTTTACATGGTTTTCTTGCAGGACTATTTCTACAAAGAGCTGCCTGATGGGAGGATCTGGGCAGCTGCACAAGTCCCTCCTACTCAGGCTATTCCCTCCTTGGTACACAAAAGGCACCTGAGGGAGAAGGATAATGAAAGGGTGGGGACAGTGCTGCTGGCAGTTTCAATGGCCATTTCTATGATGTGAGCCTTTATAAACACCAGGCACTGAAGGTAAATGCCAAATTAATTTCGATTAGCTTTTCAGTATCACGCAGACACCTTGTCCATCCACACAGTTCAGGGTGATGGCAAATGCTGGGAGGTTTTGACTCCTAGGCCTAAGAGCTTTAAAATGTTAATACTTACGATCAAGAGGTACTTCCAGTGCACTAATCATCTGGCACAGGAGGAGAACCAGGGGCACTCTGCCTACAGATAAGCGCTTCTTTTTCGGCATTATTTTAAGCTGCATTAGTTTCACTCCTGCTGAGATCCACAAGCTGAATTTCCTTTTCTTCTTTCACAAAAGATTTGTGTGCAACGTTTAAATAATTTTTCATGCAGGGAACTGAAAAGAGATGGAATAAGAATAATAATTATAATGTATTAAAAAGAAGGAAATGAAGGACGGAAGTCGGCAGCACAGAAAATCAGCCCTGTATTATACATGAACTCTAAAAGGGAGTTAACTTTTAAATATTTAACTCCCAAGACTGGGATAATTATTTATTCATAAATCAGCTAAAATCAGTTCAGAAATATTTGTGGTGATATCAAGCAAATCTCTCCATTTTCCCATCCTTATGGTTTTCCCATTTTAAATATTTGAACTTAAAATGCTCAAAGGCCACAATGTCTTTCTTAACAGAGAGGAAAACTTGGCTTTTAAGCTTTTTGGAAAGCCATCACTTTGTGACTTTAGAGGGGAGGTTTAAAGCTTTTCCAATCTGAAGACCACCTCTAGGAAAGTTCAGGGCATTGCTGCAAATTTCCTTTAAACCCCAAACACTGATTTACCAGCTGAACAATGCCAATCCAGGCCATCACTGGCTCTCACTCAGAATATGACCCCAGACCTGGCTGGGCTCTCAGGTCCAAGGCTTCCTCACTGCGGTCACCCTCCTTCACAATGCTGATTAAATTTTTCTGACAGGGTCTTCTTTGATTCAAGTTTGAGAATAGCCACACACACTCTACCAACTGAAGTCCATTCTCTTCCTAAACAAGTATCAAAACACTTCAGTATTCCAGCAGCAGTTTATCCTGCCAACCCCACCTCTTTCCATATCCATGTAACTGTTTTCTTGTTGAATGACTTACTTCTGTTTTTTTCTTATGTCAACCTTTCAATATGTCTCAATTTTCTCACCTTCTTGTCTTTTTTTTTTTTCAATTTTCTTTCCAGGTATGCTTATCCATCACATTTTCTCATCTAAGTTCTAATTATTTCTTATATGTCAATTAAAGTGACACCTCCAAGAAACTAGCAATCATTTCACCACCACATCAGAATTCCTAAAATTCCTTGTTTTAAACATCACGTATATTACAAAAGATATACAAATAAATAGATCTGTGCATATGATTGTGTTATGCATACTCTCTTTCTGCACCTTCAGGCAAGGTCTCCCTCATCACCTTACATCCTTCTCCCATCACTTAGTAGAGTGTGCTTTGCACATGGAAGCATCCCACTGGAAAGTCCAAATCAATACAAAATATAGATGTTGTTTTTTCCTTGCAAGCTCCCACCTAGAGTGATAGGTTTGATAATGTCTTCTCATTCATGGAGACAGGTGGGTGTGATCCGTGGCTCTCTTGAGCAGTTGAGCAGTTAGGAGGAATATAATAATCACAAACTGGGGCAACTCCTACAACTTTAATTACTGAATAATTTGTATTATTTTTATAGTGTGTTTTTATGATGTTCATCTTTCCCATTCATGATATGCAAGTCTCCTCAGGGCTGGGAGTATATTTGTCCTGTTCCCCAGTACATCCTCATCACCTGTCACAGTGCTTGGAACATGAAAGTATATAAACATATTTCTAGGGGAAAAGAATGAATGAAAGGAAGAAAGAAGAACACAATGGAGACAATACCTTTGAAGTTGAGATTGTCTTTAGATACTCTGACCATAGTCTACCCAAAGCAATATTTATGTTTATATTTATACTCTTTGGTTTGAAAACCAAAATCTAATCAATATGATTATAATTAGTTGTCATATCATGTCTATATGTGGAATAAAGCTTAAATGCAAAAAAAATAAAATAAACAAGGCTGATAATGTGTTTTGCTAGCAGCTAAGTTCTGATTTACACTTGGTTAAATCTATCAGAGGACACTTCTTGCAAAACAAAGAAAAAACTGAAGCTAAAAACATTACAAATATTATGTTGCAAAGCATCCACATCATGAGTTTTTGTTTAAGAACCAGGAAACGAATCTTTCTGTATTGTGATCTATTAATTCTCATGTCCAGGAAGAAATGAGATATGAATAGAAAAGTGATCAAAATATAAACCAGAATGCCTTTCTTTGTGTGCCAAAGAACATCTCTCCATTCAATCAAATTTACTCAGGTCTCTAGTGATTTTCCTGTCAAAATGCTAATTCTGAAGTCATACATTTATTCTGACAATAAAATGAATGGCACAAACAGCAACAAAACAAGTAGATCTTACTATAGTAGAAAAAACTCAGACACAAAGGACATATCTGCCTGTTTCCTGTGCCTTGTTAATCCAGATTATTCCATTCAAGTACCTAGCTCTCTGAACAGGTACTGGAAAACTCAAATACCTTCCAAAATTTGTACTAGTGTATTGTAATCACGTAAGATCTTCAACCACTACATACTACTTCTATGTTCTTCCTTTATTATTTACTTTGCTTTGATGCCTTAACTATCTTTCTCAAAATAGAGAAAACTATAAGACAACTTTACATGAAGAAAAGTATCAATGCACTATCTTTACTTTTTCAATGTATACATGAAATATACAATAGTGCATGAAATCAGCATCTGATAAGTAAAAACTCAAAATTCTAAGAAAAATTGAGAGAACACTTACTTAATGAGACATGAGTAAATAAATCTTCACACTGCATGGAGGCCATGAACAACTGTAATTGAAGATGTGGTCTCTCCTCAGAAGTTGTAAGTTAACTGCACCATTAGCCACAAGATCATTCTAGCAGAGGCTCAGTTAGGGGAGGACAAAGCAATGGTCTAGCCCATCCTCTGAATCCTACTCACGGAAAGTCACACACTCCTCCTACGAATGCCCTCATAGGTGAAAACCCAAATGCTCAAGGACAGCATTAAGTCCCCAGCACTCAATCAAACTGAAAAATCAAATACAGCTGCAGAAAATTGAGCTTTCTCTCAGTAAAAGTAATGTGCTCTGAATGTCTCACAAAGAAAAACCACTGCTTCACACTCTCAGTACTAATGTCAACGCCCTGCCCACCCAGAGCCTATCTACTTTTACTTCACCTTGGAAGATAATGGCCATTCCCCCTTAATTGTGAATCATGAACAAAGACTAACTTATGTTATGTAATTATGTTAAAATGAAAAACCCCAATATGAAGCAGCAATATTGTTTTTAGTTAAGGTTAAGGAGCATGCTAGCTTATGATTTTCAAAATATATTTGCTATAGACATTTTAAGGTATGCTTGAATGAGAAAAGTTCTATTTCATTTTCAGAAAATAACTTACCCTCATATTGAAAATCGTATATTCTATTAAAATGACCATGAGTTAAAAATAAACAGCAAAGTCTTTTGATATTTCATTTAACTCCACTAAAAGCAACTTTTCATGTTACCTATAGAACCTGTGAAACAGAAAAAAAAATCTCCCATCTTCAACAAACAAATTTCTAATAAATAAATATAACAAACATATCTTTAATAAACTTTTCATAACTATAAACAAATTCAATTAAAGCTTCCCTTATTTCTTTTGCCTCAAATTAACTTTAAATCATAGAGCATTATTTACTATTTATTTCAAAAGAAAAACCTAAGGTTTTGACAAAAGAATTCACACTGAGCCTGAGAAAAGGGTGACCTATTATTTAAGAACTCTTGTTTCTGGAAAGAAAAAAAAAACTTTGCTTTTCTCTCAAGTGAAAGTTGAAATTATCTTAATTTTTTTTTAATCAGCTCTCCAGAAAAATTGGAAGGCCAAGCATTATTTACCATTTCCTTCGGCTTTGTTTGTGCTCTTCAGTATCCAACATGGGTGGTCCAATGCTGACTGCACACACAACATGATCTACATTCTCCAAGCCAGTAAATATGCTTATGTGATTGTGACTGGACACCCGATGACACACTATTGCTCTGATAGCCCATCAGTGGCTGGCATCACTCACTGTATAACTAAGTAGGCGTGGCATCATCCTGACTGTGAGTGGTGTTTCCTAGCAGCCAACTCTAGAATAGTCACTTTTTATATTTAAAATATTTACCCAAAAGAATAAGCACATGAATGCCCATCCCTAGTTGATGCCTGGATACTTTCAATCACAGATTTGAGTCTGAGAATGTAGAAAGAAGGTTAGAGAAAAATCATGAATAAAGTCACAGTTACATCTATGCAACTGTACAAATAAAAATGAACCTTGTAAAAAAGTTGTTTGGGGTTATGGGACTAAAGAACTTGTAAGGATCTCTTCAGACCATAGTATATTGTAAGAAGCTTCAAGGACTATATTTCTGTATAGTCCAAAAGAATCTCTCATAGTAGAGTTTCTACAAGGAATCTGGTAACAAACGTGGAACAGTGCCTAAGGAAAGGTGAACAATTAACAGGTGTTTTGTTTTACCAGAATACAGATGACGGAACAGAACCTGATAATAGCTCAAAATCTTCATTCCTTAGAGTTCGATAGCTAATTATCTTATTCGAGACTTATGAGAACTCCAGACAACAGGAAAGCAGGTATCATATCCATTTAACAGATGAGGGGCAAAAAACCCCAATCACTACGGTTACCATTATTGAGCACTTTTCTGTGACAGTCATTGCCCTGAAGGTCCTCCATGAATCAGGTTATCCCATACTCCCAACAACCCCCAAAGATAAATTTTATTATCCCACTTACTGATTAGGACTCCAAGGACTAGGCTGGTAATCATGTGCTGAAGGACTCACACATGGATTGTGAAGTACCAGACCTAGAGCTCCAATTCTGAAAAGTCCTGATGCTTTCAGTCACCGAAAACTGTGAGAGGCCCTAGCATTCCCCTCCCTTCTATATTCTCCTACTTTGCAATCAGCCAATAAGCAAAAAGAATTACCAAGTTTCGTCACTGACATTTTTTTTTAAAGTGCTAATGGATTCTGAATATCTATAGATCTTCACACTGTTACTCATAGCACCGCTTCAGCAGCCTCTGCACAGTGAATTCCATGTGAAAAATACATCCTGAAATTTTACCACATGCTGGCCCTGGACTTTTAAAGGGACAGCAAATTAGGAGAATGGAGACAAGACATATTTTTAAAAGCTGATTTTAAAAGAAGGCAATACATGTGCATGGTACAAT